TCTAAAGCGGGAAGGGAATATATTCCTTTCTAGTTATCTTTAGGTTGTTCTGTTTACACTTGGTGAATCTGAACTCCATTGTAATATGCATAGGGGAAAAAAATCACATGCCTGAATTTTAGGATTTTTATTCAGTTTTGTTGACTTGCTTCCTCACTCCCATTCTCATTAGAAATGAGTCCCTGGGCACTTATGGGAGTGCTGTGGCTTGGGCTTCCACTACATGTGGGTGTCTTCTATGTGTGCAAGAATTGAGCTTGTCTCTATTCAGATCAGCAGCATAATCTTGGTGCAAGATACAGATGAAAACAGGATGTAATTTTTCTGGGCTGCTAAATGTTGGTGGCACCTCAACTAAAATTTTATGTCCAGCTAGGAACAACGCACTACCAGAAGGATGCAGCCAAACTGGAGGAGGTTTACAGGAGAGCAACATGGAAGTCAAATGATTTGAAAAATGTAGTTGATGGGAAAGGTTGAGAAAAACAAGTTTTGCTCTATAAAAGAGAAGGTGGAGTCAGTTAAATGCCAACTACTTCGAAGAGCTTTTTGAAGGATACTTAGCATACAGATCCCTGAGCTAGTAGGGATAAAACCTAGCAAGACTGCATGGCTCCAAGCAGTGCTGGGCTTGGGTGTGGAAGAAGCTGTTGAGATCCAAGCAGTTCTGTATCCGTGTTAACTAGCTTTGAAAAGCAGGACCCAGTGGTCTTACCACCTCAGTTTGAATGTAGCTCTTCTGCTTTCAAACTTGGATTTGGCATCAAGTTTTCTGTCACTGTACTTCATACTGCAACTTGCTGTCCCCTCCACTCAAACAGTACAGGAATCCACAGAGAGAGATGGATCCAGCAGTTCCTCATGTCCATGAAAGGTAGGACAAGCAGAAACAGCCAAAACAGCACAAGGGAACTTTAGATTACACACTGAGAAATCCTAATTGCCATGTGGGCAGTTAAACATTAGAGTGGGTTTCCTAGAGGGTTTGAGGAATAAATATTATCATTACAGATATAAATACAGTCTAAGCAGGAGCAGTCTAAGTGGCTTTGATCCTACTTTGATGTGGAAGGATGGGTAAAATCCTGTAGGCTTTACGCAGGCAGGAATTTGCTCTGTTTAAATGGGAATTCAGTATGCTTTTTCTGGACAATCATTGTATGAACGTGGTCATTAGTGAGTGTTCAGAGATTGGATCTAGTATTTCATGCTGGATTGCAAGAATTTCTGTATATTTTGGCCTAAAAGTTACTAAGATGACAGCCTTTTTGTTAAAGTCTCGTAATTAATTAATCAAGTTTGCTGAAGTAACTGAAACCAAACCAGATGCTTTAATGAGTTCCTTCCAAGCAGCCCTAGTGGTTATGTTGATCTCAGTTTAGTCTTTTTAGATTTTCAGGACTGAAAATTAAATTAAATTAAATTTAATTAATTAAAACTCTTGCATTTTTTTTATATCTATCTTTTTATATCTGTCTATCTATCTAAACTATTTCTCATAAGATTATCACTTGCAGAAAGGAGACCTCATTGGAGGCAGCTTGTAGTAAGCATGTGGTTGCAGAGTGTTTTATTGCTGACGAAACTTGATCATGATTTACTTTTCTTTTTTTGCAAAGAGTAAAAAGAATTTGTGCTTATGTGCAGTCAGTTGTCTAAGGGAAGCCGGTGGGAGTTGGTGCAAAGGAGCTGTAACATCCAGCTGCAGACTGCAGTGGAGAAGTCTGGTGTAAGGGAAAGTCCCAGAAGGACAATGAGAGAAATGGTGAGGCTGGGAGGTGAGGTGAAGGTCTACCATACTGTATCAGACCTCAAGGGACCTCATTCAGCCTGGCCAGACTTCCTGAGGAGAGACCCTGGATCAATATCTGTTGGAGAGTGAATCTGAATTCAATGCCATTCTTGGCTTTGGAGTTCTTCCATCATTTCAGAAATTGTATTGATTTTCCTTGTGTGTCAGTTCTCTATGTGAAAATAGGAGATGAAAGTACTTTGTACACCTGTATCTGTTTCATGTTTAAAAATGTTAGACTTTTTGAGGATAGTGGCTGATCCTGGTATGGTTTATTTACAGTCCTAGAGTAATGGAGCCCTGATCCTTTGTCGGGTCACTGAGCTCAGCTGTAAAAAAATAATAACAATAGATAATTAAATAATTTTAGAAAATGAATGGCTGACATGGTTGTAGGATAATTTCCTCAGTGGTACCCTAACTATCCTTCTGTGCAGATAAAATAACAAAATAACTTGAACAATGATGGAAGGAGTATAAATACTGGATAGAATTGAGTTTGTGGGGAGGGAGAAATATCCTCTCATTTGCAGTGGGGCTCAGCAGAAAACTGACAGGAAGAAAAGCAATTCAAAATCTGTGGGTACATGTAGGATTGAACTCTATATGAGTTACTACAGTTAGGAAGACTAGAAAAGCTTTCATGCTTAGAATGCCATGCTTTGAATCATGAAAGTTTGCATGTTATTTATTTTTACTGTTTATTTTGCCTTAGTAAGGGAGTTATCTTTCTCTACAAACTTTTTCAGAGTTATGCACTTAGAGCATTATAGGTATGACAAGAATATGTCAGCAGTCAGCACTGCCTACTTTTTCTTGCTCAGTGATTTCTGAAATGAAATTGGATATCATCTTGTTTGTTTATGTCAACACAGTACTAGGGAGGAGGTACAGATATCAAACTGCTGCTCTATATATTTCATTACGAGCAATGTAAAAACTGAAATGACTTTCTGCAAAGTCTGTGTCTGTCAGGATAAACTCTGAGCAAGTAACAGACTAGCTGAAATTCTGGGATTCTCCTTTCCATAAGGTATTGTGCTTTGAGTTTATAAAATGGTGCATTGAGAAGGCAAGCAAGGTGAAAAAAAAATTTAGAGCACTAAAGTAATCAAATTAGCTGTATGACCAGAAAAATATTTCTGCAGAAAGAAGTGAAATTACTGGTATCGCTTATTGTGACAGCTCTTATAGAAACAACTGATGGATGTTACGGCTGGCAGTTTTCACCGAGGGGCTGAGGGCTGGTAAGGATTACAAACGTTATGTTCTTACCTGACACTCACCTGTAGCTCTGTCTCCGTCGATGTTCTTGAACATGACTCAAATCATCTTGAATTCCACCAGTTCTGTAACCTTGGTCTGTGTGTCTCCTGCCTCTGATCACTCTATTGACCTTTATAAAGGCATCTTTGTTGCAGAAGCTACAAGCACAACATTGTTGTCGGTTCTAGGATGCCATTTTAACTCTACCAACAAGAGGGAAAACACAAAACTCCTTATTAAGTTTTTGAATTTCCTTTAGTGTCCCTTTTTTTATTAATTGGATCCCACTTCTGCAGAGATCCAGTTTACATGAACGAGATTTCGTAGTTTTAAAGCTCAGTCTGTGAAGGATTCAGTCCTTAAGTTGCAAGCGCTTTCGGGGCTGGAGCTGCCGTCACTTTTGTGTACTGCATGGTGCTGTATACATGCTGGTGCTGTACAAACCAGAGCAATGAGAGTGAATTTCTCCCTTCAAAAGAATAAACCCTTTGGTAGGAAATTATTTGCATTGCCAGAGGTTTTAATTCCTCTCATTACTAGAAATTCCTCGAATTTTAAACTCTGTTCTTTGTATGACATAAGACAGGTCAAGAAAAGAGGAGGAAGAGGGAGAAGGAAATTCATTAGCCAAGATGTAGAAGATTTATAGTTACCCTCCCTCCCTCTGAGACCAAGGGAGTGGCTTTTGTTGGTTCTGTGAGGCGTGGGTTGAAATTATCACTCCACAGAGGCACCTCTGCAGCACACAAGCAGATTGTATTAAAATGGCTCAGTAATGGTGCCTTGAAGTCCTTACTGATTGGCAGTGTTAAGGCCCGATACTTTGTTCAGCAAAGCATTTCAGCTTGCTGAGCAAGAACAAATTGCTTTAGCACCTGGCTAGACTGGAGTCTTGAAATAGACCAAAACCAGAAGGTGGATCCTCTGTTGCTGTCCCTCATCATTATGACAGTGGATGATAAGGGCAGGGATTATATCTGTCTTTGCTTTGACCCTGGTTTCAGTTCTAACTCATCTTCCGTGTACACAGCTTATTTATCAAACTTGTGTCCTTTGACTCTCCGATGCCTGAGTTTCAAATTTGCCATTCCCAAGGGCCAGTGTCTGTGAGTCAGGGCACTGTGTGTTTGGCTCTTACTCCATTAACTGAATGGACTAAGGCTGGTCCACTGCAGAAAGTCTTGTTTCAGAGACCCACGGATTGTTTTGCTACAGCTTTTCTCTTCCCTGTTGCTTCCGTGCACATCTATCCAGGAACAACCTTGGTCTGTCAGACCTGCCAGTATTATCCCCATTTTGTAAGTTGCCAAGCAGGAAAAAGGTCCAGTGTTTGAAAGAATTTATAAAGTGCCAGCAGATGGCTGAAAATAAGCAGTGACATGACCCTCTACTGCCATGCAGAAGATCAAAAGCAACCATTTGAGTGCTGAGAGAGGCTGGCAGCAGTGATGAGCAGTTATAAATTATCTCTGAAAATGAGCAGTTATAAATTATCTCTGAAACAACGCAGTCATCAGCTGATGGAAAACTGTTGCTTGTCAGAGTCCTTGGCAATATCACCCCCACATTCCTCCATTCCCCCCACTAATGACAGTTGATTTTGCTGGTTTTCCATCCCTTTCTCCATCACAGTTGACAGCCTCATTACTGCTTGACTCAGCCAGCCGGCTGTTAATGCACCAGCAGTGGAGAGCACGGAGGCGTGAGGGCACCAGCCTCCAGCTGCTTCCTAGAAGTCCACAAGTGGCATTTATCAGGCCTGTGTCACTCTGTTAGCAATACGACCCTGGGTCTGCTAACTGCTCCTAATTAGGCCATTTCTGTCAAATGCCAGGGAAAGTGAGTGGATGGTGCAGTAAAGACATGCTGTCATTCCCTGCGTATTGCAGTTCAATGTCCCGATAAAGTATTTTCTGAGGAAGTACTTTTGTTTTCCTTTCAGCAAACCCCTGTGAGCTCCACTGTCGCCCAATAGACGGCCATTTTTCAGAGAAGATGCTTGATGCAGTTACTGATGGTACTCCTTGCTTTGAAGGAAGGCACAGCCGAGATACCTGTATTAATGGCATGTGTAAGGTATTGGGTATGTTTGCATGTTTCTTTTTCTACAATTTTATTTTGTAAAGTTATGGGAAAATGTTGGATTATTTTGGTGGATCAAGGCCAAGCACTCCATTTTATCAGATTTTGAATGATCATGGAAAGAAGTTTATAGAAACAGATTTTCGAGTAGACATAAGAGTTGTTTCCATCCTTTTTAATGAATCCCGTAGACTGACTGCTAATTATTTCTGGTGCCTTTTAACGCCTTTCTTCTTCTTTTGTTATTTTAAAACTTCGATATAAGAAAATCTGTTTGTTTCTGATGAGATTTTTTTACAAAGGATTGTAGCTTTACAGTTGTAATTGGTGTCACCACTCTGTTTTTTTTTATGAAAATGCAGTTTAGCATTACACGTTATGTAGCGGTTCTGAACTGACTTGTAATAGGATTGGACATTTGCAGTTGGAGGCAGTGAGAACTTCTTTACAACTGTGAATTAATGCTGTACAGTGTAACAGGCAAGCACAGAGTATATGGTTCAATAATGTTCTGTTTATTGAACAGTAAGTATAAAGTTCTCTGCATGTTCTGCATGTTGGTAGTAGGTTTCTGGGATGGTGTGTGTGTTTGTGGCGTTTGAAGCTGTGTTCTGTAGCTGCTGTAACACCCACAGTCTTAGCATTGGTTTTAGTGAATTTCTTGTAAATAAAACAAGTACTTTACTGATAGGGGATGCATTTAAAACTAGTTTATTTATTCAAACTGGGGATTTGCGTCCTGTACTCCCTAGAAACCTAATTGCTTTTTGGCTTTTAACATCTTTGGAAACAAACAGGACTTGGTGTCTTGTGAAGACGACACTAGCTTACTGTCAGGAGCTTGGGATTTTATGTCCTAACTCATTGAACCATATAAAAATGCAACTAGAAGGGACTTCAAGAAGTTCTTTTCTTCTTTTGTTAAAGACTTCTAATGATGGGAACTCCACATTTTTAATATGTCATTGGTATACCCTCTCGGAAGACTTTCTGTTTTAATAGAATGCCAGTGCCTCAGAGGACAGCAATAAAAGATTTGTTTTAAGCTTTCCTTGCAGGACATACATTCGTGAAAGGGAGTTACTGAGACTCTGCTCAAATTCACAGTGAAGAAATTCTGCTGGACTTTGCTGAGGGCCAGGATGGGCCTTTTAACTGTGATGGTGAAAGACCTGACCTGGCCTTGAGCAGTTCAAGCCAGATGGAAACACATCTTTAGCACATTGAAAGGTGTAGTAAATGTATACCGTATCAGTGCTTTTGACCTTTATTTGGAAGAGGCCAAATGCTAAACCCAGAAGGCTGTCTTTGTGATGTTACACTTTCATTTTCTGATTTCCAGCCCAAATGGAATGGGATCACTGTGATTAATTTTAGTTTCCATATGATATCTGTATTGAGACTTGCCTGTGACAGTTCAAACATATACCTATTTTAGAAACAGCAAAACTTCATTAATCAGAAGCAGTAGATCAGAGGTGAAAGGAAAGCTAATTCTAACTGCAGTTTGTAGATACCAGATATACTTTAGCATTAATAGTTCTGGGGACTCAAAGCCTTTCTAAAGAATTTCCTCCAAGGTACTGGTGCTATCATAAATACAGTTTTGTCAGCTTTTCACATCTTGACTACTGCTTCGCATCTTCTCACAAACAGGTTTAATTGGAGTCAGAATCATGGAGTGAACAATATAATCATGCAGCTGCAACAAATGAGACAAATGATGAATAGGTAACCCAGATAGCTCACATTTCTGAAAGACAGTGTGCTTTTACCTGAAATAGGTACCCAATATAACACTTGTGGAAAAGCTTGTTCACGTATCTTCATATAATTCACTAGTAGTTTAGTTCAGCTAGTTAAACACAATATATACATTGCAGGTCATGGTGAATAAAGGTGGAAATGCTTTTAATATAATTAGTCTGCTGCATCGTTCTTGTACTCCGACAGCAACATATTGCTAATGATGTGAAAAAGGAGTTCACAAACATTAGTGGCAATGTCTATTAAAGCCCTGTTCTGGTTTTCAGTACTGTATCTCACAAAAGCACTTCCCATTTGTTCTAAGTACTAAAATAACACTTTGTTTAGATCTGAAATTGAGCAGAAAATTAAAATGGTGAGATGTTGTATACTAGATCCACTGTCCATATCACTCATGTGTTTGATGTGCAGAGCCACCATTTTTTAACAACCAAATTCACACTTTTCGTAGTGGATATGTCAAAACAAGATAGATAGACTCAGATTCAAACTAGAATTTAATCTACTAAATTCAGCTGATTTCAATCTGATTTTGCAGTTTGCCATGGTTTTGTTCAGATCAATCAGAGAAATTGGTCTTACCTTGATGGCTAAATGTGGATTGAGATGCCTCATTTTAGCTACCGGTGTGTGTGGTATACTGGGTGCTGTTCTAGGCACCTTGGCAAAGCCATAATGTGCATCTTCAAGTGGGAAGTCAGTGTGGACAGACAGTAGCACTGATTCACTTCGTCCTTGCAATTTGTCCAGTAGACAGGTCCTAATTTTTTAGAAGTGCTGCCTGTGCCTCAGTTGAAGGCAGCCTTCCTGGTGAGGTGGTGTTGGTATAGTATTCCTTGAGAACTTCCCTTGTCAATTCAAAGACAGGCTAGAATTGTTAACTCACTTGAGGGCCTGGCATATAAAATAGCTCGATCCTGTCTCAGCTTTGTCATAGAATCATAGAATCATAGAATGGTTTGTGTTGGAAAGGACCTTAAAGATCATCTGATTCGAACTCCCCTGCCATGAGCAGGGACATCTTCCACTAGACCAGGTTGCTCAGATCTCCATCCAACCTGGCCTTGAACACTTCCAGGGAGGGGGCATCCACAGCTGCTCTGGGCCACCTGTTCCACTGTTTCACCACCCTCATGGTGAAGAATTTCTTCCTAATATCTAATCTAAATCTGCCCTCTTTTAGTTTACATCCATTCCCCCTTGTCCTGTCACTACACACCCTAGTGAAAAGTCCCTCTCCATCCTTCGTGTAGGCTCCCTTCAGATACTGGAAGGCTGCTCTAAGGTCACCCCGGAGCCTTCTCTTCTCCAGGCTGAACAGCCCCAGCTCCCTCAGCCGGTCCTCACAGGAGAGGTTCTCCAGCCCTCTGGTCATCTTCGTGGCCCTCCTCTGGACCTGCTCCAACACATCCATGTCCTTCCTATGCTGGGGGCTCCAGAACTGGACGCAGTACTCCAGGTGGGGTCTCACGACAGCAGAGTAAAGGGGCAGAATCACCTCCCTTGACCTGCTAGCCAGGAGTTCCGTAATCACGTGTAATGCCATTAAATCACTCAGTGCTGGAACCAGTACCTGCAAAGGGGGATCTCAGAGCTACACACCTGCAGCTGCAACCATGTTTTGTTCCAGGTGGTGCTCATAAGGAGATGAGAGATGCAGTCCTCTCAATCCTTTTATTGTAGCCCGGCCTTCTTTCAGATACCTTCTTAGACCCCCTTGTGTCATGATGTCTGACTTACGAACAGCTTTGAGTGGAGGGAGTCAACAAGATCTGTCAGAAATTTAATCTAGAATCATCAAGATATACCATGACCAGTTTGCTATTTAATCATATTCCTCTGCGCTCATCCTTTGAGTATCACTTTTTTTCCCTTTTTTTAGAAGATGTTTAACACACATATCCTGTCTTCCTGTGTTTTAAATTTAAACACATCAAGTGCACTCTAATTCTTAGTAGAGCAGTCCGTTGCTCCCCCAGTGTTAATAAGCAAAGATACTGCCACCAGAGTATGTTTGTTGAGCTCTGGTATATACATGACTGAGGAGTCTGGTTAAATGCAAGCCATGGCATCATCTAGAAGTGAAGGCTCACATGGTGTATGCACTGAGAGTGTGCACACCCTGAGGGTGGAGGACCTGGCATCTCTGCTGTTTCTAGCAAGTGTTTGTCTCCTGCATAGAATTTTAATAGGCTTAAATGACCTTCAGTCAAGCAAATCTGTGGCCCGTTCTCTGTGATAATTCACAATTGTTATGTTGAGAGACTAACTTTGTATTGGAGAATTACACAGCTGTGTAGTACTAGGGAGGAAAATGTGGGGTTTTTTTTCTCTTGCTGAAAAGCAGATTCCACATCTCGGATTTTTTGTAGTAGCTTTAGTACCTCTCACTATGTTTCCATCTCCTCCTCCTACTGCTATCCTGACAGGACATTGATGCAGACCCATCTAGACAAATTAGAAGAGAAACAGGCACATCAGGACACATTTCTCCTCATTCAACGCAGTGTCATGGCCAACATGACATGAACATTATTTCTTTATTTGGAGACCAGTGGGGGAGACGAATGGAAGGAAAAGCTTAAAAGCACAATGCAGCATCCATGTAACTTTGACATTCAGGCAGTACCTCCAGGCCATACCCTTCAGCGACAGCAAAGACTTTTTGTATCTGTCCCCCACTGGCAATCTGACACAAAAGTTTCTCCCTCTGGAAGTGGCAAAAGGGTAATCTCTTGCTGTTTTCCCTTTAGTCACTGAGCAGCAGGAAAAGATATTTTTTCTCCTTCCAGTAATGCAGCCAGGCAATTCGGGTCATTATTTCTGCCTCCGCATTGTGTGCTGGGACCAGAAATAAAACTAGTCTCAGGAGCATCAAAAAGGTTTTTGGTGAATGGGGCAATGTCAGTGGGCTGCACGGAGGGATGCTAATTTGTGCTGCAAATGGTATGGCACAGTTGTTGCTGTAGCACAGCATGTTTCCCTGGCAGAGGGTGCCCAAGGACATAGGCAGAAGAGCCTACGTGCTGCTGATTTTTTTTCTTGTTTTGTAATGTGTGTTTAGTCTCCAGATCCCTTTTAACAGGCAATTTGGCAGAAATTTGAGGCACATTATTTAAGCAGTTTTAGAAAATACGTCTACTGCCTGTCTTGAAGAATGAGGAAAGCAAATGCAAAGGAGGAGGAAGCATCTAGAAATTAATCTAATGGATGACAAAAATAATATGATATTCTCTGGAGCAGAAAAGTAAAACATGGCCTGGAAATTCATGCAAATAGACTTACAATGAATGACTGCTGTTTATTCTGACACATGAGAAAATGTACTTTTGTGATGGTCATTAATGGCCTCATAAGATGAGGCCCTGTTGCTAGACGTGATGCTCATTGCACCACCAGCAGCACCCCAGCGCTAGGGAATAAGATGAAGACTTTATTTACAGTAACACAGTAAATTGCCTGCCTGCCACAGTTATCTGCAGTGCCTCATTTTTGGGGATCCCTGCACCCCACCCTGCTGCATGTATAGGTAAGACTGTGATGTCTGGCCGGATGCAAACTATGTTTCGAATATTGGAGGAAAAAACAAATTGCAAGTTTCTGTGGTTGTAACTAGAAGGGACAAAAAAGATTCCCTTCATGGCATAACCATGTCGTATTTTGATGCCATGGTTGTGTTCCTAAAGGAAATGTATGGCCAGGTGGGAAAGATCTGAGCTGATTCTGACTGAGATGACACAGAGTACAGCCAACGCAGAGACACTAATTAGCACCTCAAAGAAAGGAAGGTGATGATACTGTGGTGCTGCCACCAGATTCGTTTGCTAGTGCCAGTGCAGTAGTTCAGGACTAATTTGTTTCAGCATTTGGGGATTTTTACACTGCTCAGTACTCGCAAGGGAAATATGCTCAGTGATGTTCATTTCATAATGTCTGATTGACAGCCTGAAGTGGATAAATTATTTCTGGGTGCAGACACTCAAACAAGAATGAAAAATAAATGATGAACAAAAACCTTTTGAAGAACATACATTTTCTACCAGAAAATGCAGATTTGGCAAAAATCATGCAATTTGAAGACAAGCCATTTTTTTTCAAGAAGTTCAAAAGAGAAGCCTCCAAACACTCATAAATAATATTTTTTAATAGCAAAACATGAAGTGCAAGGGTTCCACGTCCAGATTTGCCCCAGCTTTCTGTTTAATAGTGAGTATGTGCATAGAATAGAAAATAAACTTCAACTTTCATGACTCTCCAGAGCGGCTGGTTACACCTCTGGTCTAATAATTGAAACCTGAGAACAATGACTTAGTATACTAACTTTTTGTAGATGATTATCAAATGTACTGATAGGACAGTAAATATACTGCAGAACGCATCTCTTTAAGAAAATAGCTACACACCTACCTCTTTAAATTCTTAGGAAATGTTAAATATAAGCTGCAGTGCATCTGTAGATAGCAGGTTAAGAATTGAATCTGAACTCTTGGCAAGATAAAGAAACATCCTGCACTTATCACAGTGGTGTCTGTGTACTTTGAATACTTCCTTAAATGCATTCTTGGTCGAATAGCTACGTGCTTGGAGGCAAAAATTTAGTCACCTTCTTAACCTGTGCTTATCTCTGTAATAAGCTGTACTGCTCGTAAACGTGTTCCTTGGCCGAGATGTGTCTGTGTGAAAGACATTACAAAACCTTCCTTTTTTTGAAAGTAGCCTTGGCTGGAAGGAGAGAGAAGTTGAGGCTGCTGCAGAACCTTTTGGCACGGCCATTGTTTTTCAGAGTAGGTATCAAAGGTGCTGGCTAAGTGTTGGCAGTAATAATGGATGAGTCTTTTTTGAATCCTCTGTAAAAACGCAAGTGACATGGTTTAACACCATTTGTAACTTGAGGCCTTTCCTTGATTCTGTTCTTGCTGCTTCTCTAGCTGCTCATTAAATCACTGGCACATAGAGGAAAAGTTCAGGTGTTTCTTGTGCTGAAAACGATGGAAAAATGTTAGAGAATGCAGAAGCCTTTATACCTAGATTAGTCTAATAGATGGATTTTCCTGTCAGAAGCTTGCAGAAAATTACAGTAGCTGATGTACTGAAGGTAAAATAAGATGAGAATTAAAAGAGGAGATACCCAGGTTTTCATACATCAAGGGAGTGTTAGAGCAGTTGTGAAGTATCACACTTCAAAGCTTAATTTGAGGAAAATCAGCTGAGAAAAACTTCATATACCACTAGACTTATGGCTAGTCATCTAAACCACAGGTCTCCAGATATGTTAGATACTATTAAAAACTATTAAATGTTGGACATTAGGTTGTGTTCTGCAGCCTTGCTAGTTTTTAAAGAGAGGCAAAATCCACCCCAAAACCAACTGAAGATTTTGTTGAAGTTTAAAGCCATTAATGCGCAGAATTTTTGGTCTGGGCAAACTATTACTACTCCCTGTAGTAAGCATGAGCTGGAAAATCAGTCGTCACATGAACTTTATCTTGACCCATTCGCCCATGCTGGCAAGCCAGAGAAGCAGCTATCATGGGTATAAAGCTTCATGCGTGCTGAAGAGTGTCTCTTTGCCAGGAGGTTTGACTGCAGTAGAAGTTCTGCACTGTCTGGTGGCCACAAAAAGCAGACACAGAGATTTCAGTTCTGTTACTCCATTGTATTCCTGGGAATCCATGGATATTTCTGTGACATAAGAAAGCAGATACAAATGCTAGATGTATTGACCAGTCCTAGATGTTGAGGCCATTTGGGGGGCGCGTTTCCATTTCAAGTAACTGGTCACTACTGTATGTTTCGTGACATGGTGGTGGTTATTGCTTGTTTGGTTTTCACCTTCATATTATACACGTGAGTTTGACGTAGATATAACTAGCTCTACCATTTGTTTGTGTAGGATATGTACTTTTCCACAAAATTGATTCTTCCCCCTATTAGAAGAGCAAAGTACACTGAAGGCAGCGATACACGAGCTCTGAGTATTTCGTTGCGGAGGCCGCATTTATTCTGGAACTGTTTTTCCTTCTAGACTGTCGGCTGTGATTATGAGATAAATTCCAATGCAACTGAAGACCAGTGTGGAGTTTGCCTGGGAGACGGCTCTGCTTGTCGTACAGTGAAGATGATGTTTAATCAAAGTGAAGGATTTGGTAAAATCGGTTCTTTTTTTAAACTCTTCAGTTGGTGAAGTCATTTCTCTACATAAAAAGGATGAAGTGCTACTCATTGGGAACTAAGTGATCAAGCTGCGTAGGAAATTGTAAATGAATGTTTCACAGTGAATCATGCTTCTGCCAGAAAAAGATATGCGGTCTGTGCTTTTTAAGTTCACCTTGTATAATAAAAATTATGTCAGAGATCAACAGGCTCTGTGCAACTTACGCACGAAATAGTAAGTGCGTTTACAGAATGAATGTCATTTACCACCTTGGAAATTCTGAATCAAGTCTCTGGACAGTGTGAAACACCAAGAAAATGCTGGAGTGAGTGGTTTGGGGAATTAATTTCTAAGTGTCATAAATCTGATACCACTGGCTCTGGTGACCATGTGACACCTCTTACCTATGCAGAGCTTTGCACTTTGGTTGCTCTAAAATTTTCTGTGGGATGCCTCTGGCTTGAAAGGGAGGAGAAGTAACTTCTTGCAGGGTTAAGGTCGTCTAAGTCAGCACTCAGAGGACGGAGCCTTTCTTCACTGGCGGCAGTGAGACAGTCAGGCTTCAAGTTGCCTTGTGTGGGATGAATGGGAGCCAGAGAGTCTAGAAGATGGAGCGGGAGACTAAAACTGAATGAAAACCATGGTGGTGAGCTGAAGATGGAAGTGACAGTCAGGATAAACAGCTTTGAATGGGAAACCAGAACAGGAGGGCGAGAGGTGAGGAGACGGGGCACTGGAGAGTGTGCTTAGAGTGAGGTCTGTGGCTGCAGAGGTGAGAAGTCTCAAAAGCAAAAATTGCTACCATGCTAGTGAGGAGGGAGAAACTGTGGTGAGGGTATGGTTTTGGCTGGCTTTTGGGTTTGTGGGGTTTTTTCATAAAATAATTCTGATTTGCATTAATATGATTTTTGCTAGTAATTTAGAGCTGGTTTGATAAGATTTTCCAAAGTTTGGGGGAGAAACACTTTCAGTATTTCAGGTTTTTTTCTGTACTCTATACTTGGATTTGCTTTCCTCCACTTTATATCGCAGAGGTGGACTGTGAAGACGCCTGGAAACTTGCAACAGTGCAGGTTGTGTACGTGTGCGAGGCTTACAAAGGAAAATCTAGAGCTCCCTGTCCTCCAGTAGTCTGGAGTAATCCTCCAGCCTCTGATCTGTTGCTTCTGCTACTCTAATATTCACTCTGCCTTTGACTGTGTGTCAGTTTTCCAAGGCTGCAGGTGATGCGGTTTATTTTCACATAGTAGTTTTACTAAAAAGGTCAAATACTGTAACACATGGGAGCGTAAGTGCCTCTTATTTTATTAAAGTAATTTTGTGTTTTATCTTCACTTAGTTTTCCCTTGCCTCAAGATTCAATAAGCCTCACTGACAGAGACTGCTGAGGGATACTGACTGTTAAGTAAAATTATTTCATTGCTTTCTTTAGATTCAGTAAAAAATTGATTGATTCTGCAGATTCTTTCCTTTCTACAGACGTTGACTCCATTGCAGAAAAAAATAAGGACAAGTGTCAGCAAAGGCAAAGGTTGCTGGGCTCTTCAGCTTATAAGACAACGTGTGGATCTTGGTGATGTTCACAGCTGTTAAACAGAGAATAGGAAAACGGTTTTGTTCATAATATCTGGCTTCTTGTTGTCTCTGACAGGTATTGTGGTGTCTTGCAGTACAGATTTATGGCAGAGTGGCTACTGAACAGTTTATGTAAGCGTAAAGACTTCAGGCTTGTAAATTCAGTGTAGGTAGCAAAGCTGGACCAAAGCATGCTGCCAGTCACTGGCGAGGAAGATTTGAAGAGTTTTTTCTATGTTTAATGGCACAGAGAAATAGAAAATCAAAGCTAATATATTTTGATTTAAAGCTGTATTCAGAGGCTAAGCCCAGCAGGGCTGGTGGGTCTGGTGCTGCAGCAGTGCGTATTCTGTCTGCAAGTTGACTGAATTGCCAGATCAGACTAATGAAATGCTAGGAAAAAATTATAACAATTCAGCCTTTCACTGCAGGGCAAGGTTATCAGTTTTACCTGAAGTCTTACCGTCTCATGTTCAGAAAGAGAAGTTTTAAAATCTGTGTTATTGCTTGGATTTTCTTTAAAATTTTTTGTCTTTCCTGTGGACGGAAAATGGGAATAGCAGTACAGGGGCTCCCAACATAGCCGCAGGAACAGCAGCATCACCTGTGTAATGAATTCCGTTAGACTTTCATAATGGAAAACAAATCAGAGGCCTGATGTGCATGAATGGTCTTGGCTGTTGACACTAACATTAGCAAGTACCTGGTCTGCACCTCAATTTCAGGAGGTTCCTCTGAAAATCATTTAATTTGCTGCAGCTGAAGTCTTAGGGCAGAAAGGTTGCAACATGAGCAGGGTGTTGAAAAGCAAGGGCTGGCAAAGAAGTCACAAGCTCTCCTCTTGTTAAGGTGGAAGAAGTCTACTGTTATTTTGAGGTAGAGTATTTAAAAGTGTTCGTGTTGTTGTGGTGACTGCAAAGGAGTAGAGTATTACTGTGTACAGCAGTAAACCTCGAGGTTTATCATGGTCCAGTTATCTCCTGGCCAACTTGGCTGTGACTGGACCAGCATGTACCATGGTCTCCCTGCTACCACTGTTTCCTTTCATGCAACCAAAGTGCAGACAGAGATCTGGTACATGCCTGAACCTAGCCCCAGGATGGAATCTGGACATAGCCATGGCGTAAATACTGATCCGAGAGGCTGGAAGGTCTCCTGGATTCTCACTGAGGAGGCTGTCTCTGGGCTATGATTTTTTTCCCATTACTGTCACACACTGCAGTGCTCCCTCTACTCCATGGGAAGACTGTATGCAACCATACTTTGACTCACAAACCTGATATGCCACCAGGAGCCTGTGCTGTTTGCCATGTAATATTCTTGTGGTAGTGCCTAGAGCCTGGCTTAGAGGAAAATCATGCCACTGAAACATGTATTTTTAAGGTACAACAAATTGGAGAGCAGGATGGGAGCTGTTGTGACAAGGAGAAATAGCCAGATCTGATTATCATCTGATCTGCAATACTGTGCTAACCACCTGAGTGAAATTACTCCTCTCCAACAGCAGCAGGTGAAGAGAAATGAGCTCTGCTTCTGTCGTGGTAGAGCTGTGCCTGCCACAAAGGTTGCATGAGTTTATTCATGTTGTACTCTCATCTGTGTTAGGAGCATATAGATTTAATTTTAATTACAAAGGGAAAGATTAATAACATCTGGTAGTTGCCATTTCATGTGTGTGTAGTAGCATCCATGATATGGACGCTCCAGGATTTAATGAGCGCCGCGTGTAGGTTAGCTGACATTTTGACTGTTATTGAATCTCAGATCTCTAGATCCTTATCAGATGAAACCATATAACCAGGAACAATTATGTAAACACCATCCACATCATTTTTAAACAAAAATTTATTATGTTGAGTGATAAACTCAAAAGCTTGCTGCTGATTAGCTTTGCTTTCAAAAGCAGATAACATTCATTGGGAATTAATATGAGGTTCTGGGAAATCAGGAGGTAATTTAGCTATTCAAAAAAAGGAGGGCCGGGGGGAAGGGAGTGTGGCACATTCAGCAAATGGTAACATCTATCACCAGACAGTTGCAATATATTTAAAATCAGGTTTGTGAGCAACAGCAGGTGATTCAGACAGAAATAATTGTGCAAAAACTTCAGAGGATACAGATTTTTATGTTACAACCGAAAGAAAATTATGTTTTATTGGTTTTATATTTTGTTTTGAACAAATTTTATTCTAACTACATCTGAAAAAAGCCTACTGGAAAAGGACACCAATTTTGCAAAGCCAAGCTGTCAGGACGTGATACAATTAAGATTTTCCGTGTTGTGTTAATTTGGCCCAGTTGCGAGTATGCCTTGTAATCAAGTCTTTAGTTACACGATCACACACTGTGTTCATAACACATCTACTCTGCACTGAATTAATGGAACATTTGGGAGAATCGTTAAACCTTGGTTACTTATAATAGGCTTAGACCGCTGGTTTCCTATAATAGAAATTATTCAGTAATCCTCCGGATTTTGTTGTTCCCTTCAGTTATGAAAGACTGAAAAGTTTGGATTTCCACAGTCAGTCTAGGAAAGTTACAAAAGGTAACATCCCGAAAACCCTTCTTCTTGAACATTAATCACTGAAAAAAGTAATTAATATAATTACGAAGGGCCAGAAGTAGATCCTTTTTCTGTACCATAAGCAACGTATAACATTAGAACCAATACTTATCACCCCGCATAAGAGCTGCAAAGACAATTCAGATATTAAAGACTTTGGGTCATTTATTTATAACAGCAGGTTGTTGTACAGCATGTAAATACTTCTGGTAGGTGGAGAGCATTGATACTGAAAACAGCTTAGTATGCCCAGTGTTGTTTATCTGACTCATGTAAGTAATCAAAAGTGATAAGTTTATTTCACAAGAAAGGTGAAAGGGATGTCAGTCACAGAATTTAATTCATGACCTCAGCAGTGTGTGATGAGAACTGGGGAACAACACATGTTCCAGTCTTCGAGTAAAACAGCAGAAACTGCAGCTCACACTCCCAGGGCACCTGCTTCTTGAGCTGTCATCCTTCCAATTTCTAAAGCCCAGCCAGGAGCAACAGCAAGAGTGCTCTCTGAGTTTGTGTTCTGATTTCTATGTCAACTTCATGTTTTTACAGTAGCAGTAGCAATAGCAGTTCCCTGTAAGGTGAGAAGCACAGAGCCTGATGTTGTGTATTGCCTGTGGTGCAAACAAAATTCTGTGACAGATGTTCTGAGTTAATTCTTAACACACATACCAGAAATCTCTTTTTACAGATTACTTTATATAGGAAGAGCTGTTGAACTTCAGTTTACAAAAATGTATTCAACTGATCATAATTTGAGGCATTTGAGTAACGTTCAGTTTTTTTGTAGCAAGGCTATGTATGGGAAACAATCATGGAGAAGTTAAGTGACTTAAGAGAAGGTGCATGGAATTATGTACATACCTGTATGCTGGTGACAGATGAAAACGTTCCTTGCAAATTGAAAACACCTTTCTCACAACAGACTGTTAACTTGCTGGGACTCCCTGACATTTCTCTGTGTTACTCACATTGCAGTATGCTAGGGCCCTTGGGTATGGTTATGGAGATGTTGATGCTTACCTGTGGCGTAGATTTACCCTGGTGCAGCTCAGAAAAGCATGCACCTCCATATTCCTTCTCAGTGCCACTGTCATTGCCTAAACACAGTGCACATTCATATTCCCCAACTGATACTGGAAAACCTGGCTTGGGAAGCCACACTATTAACTAACTGAAATACAAGCTCTGTGATATTTGTCTATATTTGCAAGCAAAGCCGATTATTAATAATCTTATACTTAAGTAAAATGCAATGACATTTTTGTTGTTCACCTCCATGAACCTTTCTTTTCTCTTAGGATACGTTGACATTGGGCTAATTCCGAAAGGTGCGAGGGGAATCAAAGTCATGGAAGTTGCAGAAGCAGGAAATTTCCTTGCTGTGCGAAGCAAAGACCCAGAAAAGTACTACCTGAATGGAGGCTTTATCATCCAGTGGAATGGTGAATACAAAGTGGCAGGCACAGTATTTCAGTATGATAGAACAGGGGATCTAGAAAATTTGACTGCTCCAGGACCCACCAATGAATCAATATGGATTCAGGTAAATAAGAGATCACTCGCAGAACCTGCTGGGTTTGGATGGCAGCAGAATGTGCTGGGGGTCTGAAACTGAGACTCAAAAAATACATAGATTTGTATGTAAATCACTTTATTAGCATGCTGTCTTGCAAAAATCAGTTGAGCTGTTTTGGAGAGGAGTAAACACCTTGCTTGAGAGGGTTGATTACCCTGTCTGAAAATAGATGTCCAGTATCTTAGTCTGGTGATTATTAAAGGCTAGTATACACTAGGCCAGGGATCCTGCCATCTGTAGTTTGTCAGTCCTTTCCCCAAATCTCCTTGTCTCTTGTGCCAGTTCAGACCAACATGTGGCTGTGATGTGAACCAGACCCAGATGAAAAGTAACTGCTTATCACAAAAAGGGAGCTGATGTCAGGCTGTGAACAGTGAGAGCAAGGGAAGGGTAACAGCAGTGACAGCTTAGACTAAGCAAGAAAATGCAGCATAAGATAGATGGATTAGTAGCTTGTGTAGTTGAAATGAATCCATTTAGCATCCACTGAAGTTGCTCCCTTTTGTTTCTTTTATGTTGCTTTATAGATTCTAACTTAAAAGTAACCAGATTCTGTTATTTCTGCAAAAAAGAGTTTTAAATTGCCCCTTTGTTCTCTGAATGTATCTTTCGTGACTTTTTTGCCTGTGTATCCATCATGCAATTAAAAGAAGTATTAGGAGTGTGATGGGAGCCACTTTCAAGCTTTGAATGACTGGTGAGAAGGTACATCTCATGGGTGCTCGACCTTCACTGTCAGTACCAAGGTCAAGAAAACAACTAGGAGGAAGAGTGGAAGTTCATTGCTGAAGTCTTTTATCCTTTGATGATGTTTTTCTTTTCTTTTCTCCCTCTCATCAGCCAAATGGTAAATTTCTTGAGTGGCTCTTCTCAACTGGAATTTTCCTTCTTAATCCAAAAACACTGAAAAATAATATTGAAGCAGTATCTGAATAAAGTCTGTAATTTCCTGACCTACCGATCGTTTTGTAACAGTTATTTCAGAAGGGTAGGGAAATTATAATTTATAATGGCAATAGGCAATAGCTCTTAGTCAGCAGCACATTTGGCAATGCCTTGGATGGACTTTGCATTATCTTTTCTTATAGTCAGTGGGATACCAATTATGCTGACCCACTTACTCGCACCTGTGCTTGCAAAAGTGCATGGCAAACAATTGTGTCTTAGAAAGATACACATATGCCACTGTTGGTGCACAAATGGAAGCTTTGATAGTCTGCTTTTCTGAACTGGTAGTAGGCTCCAAAATGGGCTGCTTTAAACCTTGCTGATTCTTCTGGTTTCACACTTTGAAAGCTTTGGGCCAGCAGATTATTAAAGTCATGAGTAATTAAATACACCACACACTTTTTTCAGCTACTTTTTCAAGAAACTAACCCTGGAATCAAGTATGAATATACTGTGCGTAAGGAAGAAAGTCATGAGAATGAGATTGGAGAGCCAGAGTATTTTTGGCAGTATGGAGACTGGACAGCCTGCAGCGTCACCTGTGGAAGAGGTAATTCCTCACTTCTTTTTTCTATTGCTGTTTGTCTTCAGTACTGGCAAATCTTGTCTTTAAGTTACCCAGAAAGTGTTCTCAAAGAGGTAAGGTTCTTTAATCTGCATTTGGTGTGAAATCAGTTCACGTGGTTACAATGATGTATTTTGGCTTTATAACAAAATGTTATTAAATCATTTAAGGCAAACAGGTTTCTGTAATACTTGCCCTGAAATTCTTGACCTCTGTGAACCGGAATGAAAAATGACAGTTTTCATTTCCTCATAACTAACTGGTTGTCAGTGTTGTTCAGAGTAACCTTACTTCCCAGTAATACTAGTCTATGACCTACTCTTGTTTCCCTACTGAGTCCTTCCCATATGTTAACTGCAAAACATATTCTTCATTTGTATCCTGCCTTGATAAGTAACAATGCTTTTTGTGGATTTCTCGATAATTACTTTTTTTAAATCAGTCTTGAGAATGTCTGTATCTTCTGTGTCTTTGCCCCACTCAGCACAATGTCTTGAGGACAGCTGCAGTTACATTGTACTTCTGTGCAGCCTTTTAAACCAGACAAGCAGAGTAACACCGTGAAGCAGTATCTGACAGGTATAGAAATTTGCCTTTGGTAATACACAGAAAACGCTAGCAGGAAAACTTTCTTTAAAGTAGTTAACAGATCAAGGAGATGAAGTTAATGCTTGCAGTAAACCAACAATAATGATAAAAAGACTGAAGGTTTATTTACAGACGTAAAGGTTTCTATGCAGCCTTTGCAGGAATAATTTTTAAAAGATGAGAAAAATGTTCTCTGTGAAAGGAATTCTGCACCTGGGGGAAAAAGATTGCAGCCTTCCATCTGAATTAGTTCCTGAGTTTCACTGGACAGAAGGGTGCTGGAGACAGGATGGGAACCTGTTCTTTGACCGTCTCTGTGAAAACTGTACAGAACAGTAGAAGAACAATGTTACAGCCATTGGACAAACAACATGAAATAAGTCTTTTCTCTTTCTAATGCTAGGATATTATTGGTGTTTTTTGACAATTATTGCTTTCTTAAACTACTTTCCAGAACAAAAGGAAAAGACAAACAAATGTATTAACAAATCCAGCTGGGAGTCTAGACACAGTGATGATTACAGGAGTAACAATTTTTTAATCTTTCCTGTCAGGGAAGAAACTAAAATAATGCATTTTCAGTGGTTTGAACAAAGGGCATTGTATGGTGTTAATTTTAGAAGATGAAAAGAAGAATTTTAGAAGAATAGTGTAAACTACCCCATCCCAACAACATTACTATATTATAAAAAAAAAAATTATCTATATAATGGACACATTATAGAGTTGTTTGTACATCCATGTATATATATATTTGTGCAAATATTTATGTGGTTTATTCTTGGGGTCCTTTTTGAGAAGAGTCAGCAGAAAACACAGTGTCATTTCTGGTTAACAGGAAAAAAAGTTAACTGAACAGGTCTAAAGAAGATGTAGTCTGCTAATGTATGATGCAGTCAGGGTGTTGTCACTTACTCCCTGCCCAGAAAAAAGGGAAACCCTGTCACAGAGCTTCGCTTTATCAGTTGAACCAGGGGAGCTCTGATACATAGTTTTCTGCAGGTACCTGATACTTTTATCTGTTTGTGTGCTGTCTGAATGTGGACTGTTGTCATCTTAACCTGGCAATGAATCTGAGCTAGCTGGCCCTCCTAGGCACCACACTGGTGCAGTAATATAGCAGGTTTATGCCCGGTTGATCACAGCGCAAACACATCAGCAAAAATACCTGGAGCTTTGCTGCACTAAAAGAAAGGGCGTGGCAACAGGGAAGGTGTATTTGGAAAATGTTAGCTCTGCATCATTATGGAAATTTGGAAACTCTTATGTCTTGCTACATTTAGCAAGAAATATAGGCGTGGTAGTTGTTGTTGACTTAGAACCAGAAAGTCTTACATGGTTATGCATTATTGTGGTTTGATCCCCCCAAGTTCAGTTCAGGACCAGGAGGCAGAATAAAGGAAGAACTGAATGTTCTCAACTTTGCTGGATTAAGCAACACCCTTTTCCGACTTCCACAGAACTTCTAGCTTTGAATGATGAGACTGATTTTTATCTGAAGGTACACTCTGTTTAGATTCAGATTTTATTGCCGTTGGCAGTAACAGACGTGTTGTGCCAAATCTCAGGCATTTCAAGAGTGTTGAAAGGTTTCTAAGATAAAGTGCATTGAAGTAGGCAAGATCATCTGCTATTGGTGTGCTGCCTGACACGTCTGACTGAAGACAAGCCTACAGTGAGGGTCAAAGAGATAAGAAAAGTTGCATTTATTTAGACTAAAGGTAGTAGTCAAATAATGTTCAAGCAATTTTGCAATTATCATTTGGTAAATAATAAACCGATAGCTTTTCAAGATAAAAGGGAGGGCCAAAAAAGGTGAAGTATTGAACTACCTTTGATGGCCACAGCCAGTGGAATAAATTGATCCTTACCTAGAATTTTATTCTCTTGGCAAACCTGGACCTGCCTAAAGATTCAGCATAGGGCCTCTCATCACAACTGATCAATATGGTAGCAGTAAATCCAAGGACACTTTAGCCTTTTGCAGCCACAGAGATCAGGACAATGCGTCCAAATGCTTTGTGGAGCCAAGAGAGTGAAGCTGAGTTAGGGAGTGACAAATGAGGCAACAGACACGGGAATGGGCTGATGCAGGAAAGCCTCGTCTGTCCTAAAAGTCCAGGTTTAGCCCTATTATACAGCTCCTTATCCAAGGGTAATGTACCTGGAAAAAGTCACAAGAGAATCATAGAATCATTAAGGCTGGAAAAGACCTCTAAGATCAAGTCCAATGGTCAACCCAACACCACTATGCCTGATAAACCATGTCCTGAATGATGAATAATGTCTTCATAAAGTGAAGCTGTCACTTCTCAGAGTTAACCCAGGGCAGCTCCCTAAAGATATTTTCCAGAAGATTTTTGGCCTCTAGGTAGCACCACACCATGTCCTGACCCATATGCTTCCCCAGCTCCACTGCAACTGAGAAAGAGTAAATGAAAATGTGCTCATGTTTTCCTTCATTTGCTTCACCTGCCCTGTCTTTTGTAGTCGGGTCTGGCCAGTCTACAATAACTGTTTAAGAAGGAAGAAATATTGTCTGAAAAATCAATGTTTTCTCTAGCAAACATACCATGCAGGGAAAAGGAGAACACATTGGAATACCTGATACCCATTTGCAATGCCAAAAATAATTCAGCAATTACATTGCAATCCGTTTCATGGCAAACAAACACTAAAGGACATAATTTATAATGAAAATCATAAGCCTTGCTCTGTCCTCACTGCAGGGCAGTTTGACTCTCTGCCTGCCATTTACCTTATGCAGAAAGGAATTGCTTTGCAGTCAGTATGTGTGCACACTGGGCAGTGTCCTGCAAACTGCTGCACCTTCTGGCCAGGAGCCTGGCCCTCCAGAGCCTACTGTCTTGACAGCACTTAAAGCCCTTAAGCTTTTTTATAGTAAGATTAATTTAAATGCCTCGCTGAGTTTTTTCCTAGACCAACAACCCATTCTTCTTTCTTTAAATGGTGGTCAATTAGAAATTACAAGTATAAATCCTTCATCCTTGTCTGAAGGCTTTAATCTTGTTTGTTGCAACTAGCTTTGAGTGGCATTGAACACAGCAAGAAGCAAAGCACAGCACAGCTGCAACTAAGGAAGGGTATTGGGAAAACTCAGCGATTTACTTCTCCATAGATAACATCAGTAACTGGCAAATTTGCAAAGCTTTGCTAAAGGACTTCACTGTAAGATTAGTTTGGGGGTTAATTGTTATGTGCCCTCTGAATCCTTCACCACGGTTATCAGGGCTACTTTGCAAAATTACCTCCACGTATTCCTGAACTGAAATTTAGTACTAAACTTGTAGCATTCATTTTAGAAAACAAAGGTCACTGTATTTTCCTTTGCTCTTATGGGTCTAAGCTTTATAACACTAACAATGTAAAGGTTGGCTCTTGTACTGTGTACATAACTTGTGCATGGACTCAATATAATTTGTTTATTCAAATACCAAAGTGAACTCATTGCAGGGTGTCTGATTTGATCACAGCTGTGACAATTACGTGATCAAATTAGTTTTATGATCAAATACATTCTTTTTGCATACACAATTTGTATTTTTGCTTCTGGTCCTTCATTTCTGTTGTCAGCCTTAATTTTGCCCAACCTGAGGGCTATGCAGCCAACAGATTTCTAATCTCTGTTTCAAATACGTTCCACACCCAGATGATTTTAAACTGGCACTTTTTTTTGCGAACTAGGTGAGAAACCAGGAGCTAAGTGGGTCAACCTCCCATCTAAAAAGCCCTGTAAACACTCTCTGAGCCGATTTAGTGAAATCAAGACCATTCTTTGGTCTGACTGTTGGTTTCTCTTTTTTTTTTCCCAGAAATATTTGTAGGGTTTTTTTCATAGACCTGAGATGGTACACTTCTGTGTAAAGAAACATAGGTGTGGGAAGGGCTACAGTGCAATGAGTGCTGAGGTAAACAGAGAGGAATGGGATGTTCCCACTCCAGAGGAAAAAGCGAGATCTTTTCAGAAGGATAACGACCACAGAGACAATGTCCTGATGAATACAGCCAGCGTCTTTGTGCACGCAAAACAGTTATCAGCGTGGACTAGTTAGCACTGAGGTCAGAATGAATTGAAAGAGGTGAAGGGAGGAAAACAGCTACGCTCTCAGAGCCCTATAGAAATAGTGTTTATGTTTTGAATTTTACTGAGTCTTTAAGTATATTTAGAATTTTAATCTGTGGCTTAAATAGGATATTACACTTACCAGGTAAGTAACTGTGTAAACCTGGTAGAGCAGGGTCAGTATGAAGTCACTATTTTTTTACTTTTGCAATGTTTTCTGGTTCAACTTGCTCAAGCTGAAAAAAATAACTGTGTTTCGTTATGTCATTATATGTATACCTACATATATATGTGTGTATCGATATATGCATATAGGATTCCTTCCAGCTTTGGAAGTGAATTATACAGAGTTATGATGAAAAAAATGTGTATTTATGGCTTCTTTAAATACATCCATCCATCCCAGAACTTTCCGGATTTTGAAACTACACTGGGAGTTCACAGAACTTCTGTAATAAAAATTGTTTGTGTGAATAATTTAGTTTATTGATGCCAGCGATCAGCAAATATTTTATGGGAATGTACATCCTTGAAACAAAACTTTTGCAAAGGTTTATAGTGGTTTTAAAGTGAATTACAGCAGCTGAAAAGACACTAAAATTTTATCAAAGCAGAAGAATTCTTGTTTGCATTTGTAACAGCAACATATCATGATTTTGAAAGGGACAGAAATGTATTTGTGTGAACTGCTTTGTTTACAACTAGCAGGAAGGGTGCTAGCTATTCCAGTTACATTTTTCATAGCAGAAAACAGAGCACTGCTCACTGGGAGTTGTGCACTGAACCAGAAAGCTTTCGGCTGCTTGAAGTCCCCTAGGGAAGAGGAGAGCGCCACATCCAGCTGCTTCCACATCATGTACCCTGGAGCCTGAAAGCCTCAACGAAGAGTATTAATGGGAGCACAGAGCTGCAGTCCCTTAATCCTCCCTTGTACTTGAAACTAATCCTTGTTCTAGCAAACCAGCCTTCACCTGTGACTCAGTCATCAGACACTGCTGTTGTCAGTAATTGTCTTGTATGTCTCAGTCGCAACTCTGAAAGTAATCTAAAAGCTATAACATTTCCACACAATGTCACAGACCTGATCTCTTAAGGTGCTATAAAAATGAGATACAGGTTTCCATCTGCTTCCATGGAATGACCCAAGTATGCATAGAAAGTTTATAATTTCCTTTTGTGGTGGAGATCTTTTTCAGTAACAAGTGACTACAGCCTCCCCTGCACACATGTAGTCCATGCTCAGTTCTCCCACCAAAAGTTACCTCTGTTGCTAGCTTTGGATTTCCTAGTGTTAGAGTTGGTGTTCTGTTTCTTCTGTGTTTATTTTTATAAGCAGATCATTAAATTTTGGACAGGAAAAAAATCTGAATGCTGTGAAATTACTCAAAGTGAGATAACCACACTGCTAGCATGAAATTTTAGGAAATTTGTTTTAATTGTCATATATAGGGACTTTGCTAAATAAAGGAACACAAGTATATGTTGAATAGAGGAATATTTTCATATTTCCAAGTATTATTCTCTGTGGATTACTGTTCTTATCTTCCAGATAGTTTCCCACAGTAATTATTAGGAGATGTGAGGCAAGGAAATGCTTGATGGCTAAGCGTTCTGCAAAATAGCCCAACGCTTACCCCTGACACCATAGTAACAGTGCTGCTAGGTCCTTTGCTTCCCAGGAGGATAAAAGCCACAGAGGTACAGTGACCTACCATGTGCATATTAATTGCTGTGAATTAATAGCACAGTTAATGAGAATTAATCAACAAGGTTTCTTCAGACATTTTAGTCCTTTGGGTTTCTTTGGGCATAATGCCACTATTTTAAAGCATCTGTATCAGTCTAGTTACAACCTTTCAAACTGTAATATTGCAATACTTCTTTTACACTGGGTTTGCAGCACAGGACCTACCTCAGTATGTTGCAAAACTGTCTGAAAGGCAGGCCTCTGGAAACTGACTGTCTGTAGATTTGCACTAGGGTAATGCAGTGTTTTAATTCATGGTTTTTTCTATTAAATGTGTGGGAGTTTTTCCAAGTCAAACTGTTAGGGAATAACCTAAATTGTGTGTAGGGGATGTCTCTGTGTCTGTTGTCATTACTGTGCTTTGCCTCTTGTGGTAAGTGCTGTGTATTAGTTGTTTAGAAAACATAAGATTTTCTCCCTCATATTACCGCATCATGATTTTTGGTCAAGACTTGTACAAAAACTTCTTAAAAGTGGACTCCACCATTATGAGTCACAGAGTTATAGTTTTGCTGATACACTCCAGTTTGTATTCTGCTTAAACAGCCTTCCCAGAAGTACAAAGAAAAGATCAGCAAAAATACGCTTGCTGTGAATAGCCTGGTGCTGCTGTGTTGCCTCTTATCTGTGAGTGATCCAAGAACCATTCATGGCCCTTTAAACCTGGTTCAGGGCCTGCAGGAGACCTTTCTGAGGCTGACAACTAAATTGAGACTAAGGAAGATGCTTTCCAATGTGTTGATGGAGCTGTCTGACCCACAAGAGCTCTGATTAACACCTTTTCAGCTGGATTAAAGGATGCTCATACCTGCCTTAGCCCAGATATTCAGCAGAACTGACTTTCACAGCTGTTACTGTATTCTGGGATGTGGAGTGCCACCAGTGTACTCCCCATGCCAGAGGATTTCCACAGCTCATCCTCAGCCTACATGGATCACTGTTATTTTTCACGTGTGTCTTTCTCTCTCAGGGGTGCGACGCCAGATTGCCCACTGCGTGCGGAAGGGAAGCGGAGCAATCAAAAACTCCTTCTGCGACCCATCAACACAGCCAAATGGGCGACAAAAGAAATGCTACGAAAAGGACTGTCCGCCCAGGTAACGGATACTGGGAGGGCTGTGGTGGTTCTAAACAGCAGCCTTATTCAAAGGAAAAAGTTGGTTCAAATACCAGCTTAGTGTGACGTCTACGGCCTGCCACGGTGAGCATTCCCAAGCAGTTCAGAGGAAGGTGGCAGAAACCCAGTAATGGACAGACTGAGGAGCCAGCTGCCCTAAGAAGCTTCCAGTGCAAGTTACTGAGCAGTCTGTGCTGGGAGTGGCGAAGATTGCTCTCCTGTCTGTGTAGATACTCTTTTTGTTCAGTTCAGGTACAGATGTGCCTGAAAACCATATACATCATTACTTATTTTAAAAATCGTGTTTCTGTCTTAGCTCAGGTGGTAGTCTATTACTGTGTGTTCCAAAAATTAACTTGCAGAGAGGTTTTTTTAAGCCTTTTGATGCTATTTTTTGGTATTTTTTTTTGTACTCCTTTGTCCTTTTTGTGAGGGAGGACTAGTGGAAATGCCCACTTCTGTAACTCTAATTATTATACCTTCTTTATAACACGTATTATTTGGCATCTTTTTATCATGGTCCTTCTTATTTTTTCCTTTCAGCAAAGTACAGTTTTCTTCATTCTGCTGTCATATGGGAATAATTTTTTCCATTCCCATAATATTATTTTAATTCGTCTTCATCTCTGTTTTTTCTGTTCTACCATTTTAGCAAGTAGGGTAAGGCAGTCTAATCACAGCAAACATTCCAGGTGACAGCAGCACTGTGGGCTTGAAAAAAGGCACAGATTTGCTGGAAGGGATCAATACTGGGTTTAGTTTCATGCTTTAGATACTGGAACATCTTGCTTTTGTCATTCATTGTCTTCGGAAATTGTTTATCATGCTGTTCGCAATGGTATACCAGTCTTTCCGTAGTAATTATAGTTAAATCAGAATCAAATCAAAGTCATTACAAAGATTCCCTTAAAGTGTATTGCATTACATTTGCCAGCAGTGAATTTCATGAAGCTTTAATGTAGAAAATTCTGCATGGCTGTTGGTTTTATTAGTTGTTTCCAAGTATCTTCACAACAGTATATAATGCATCCTCTGGAAATTACATCTTTGCGCTTGCAGCTTCTATAAATGACTCTTAAAAGTATAAACTACCAGCACTTCATAATTCTTTGTAGATTACTAGGAAATCAGTTGAAAGTAGATCAAACTTACTAACTAGTTGGCTAGTTAAGAGCTGAGGCTACACACGTACGTGGAGGTGGGGTTTTTTTGTAGCACATATAAACTGAGCTATTGATTCCAAAGTTCCAATGAGTTCGATTTATCCCATTATTCAGACCTGTTCTTGAAAGTGAGGGAGCAGAATTTGTCCCTTGTTGGGCAGACTGTGGACTTACGTGACGTGTGAACTGAGCTCTTCTGCAGGCCAGGCAGAAAAGCTCTCATATGCTGCCAACCTGAATGATGCTTCTGAGGCTCATTCTGCACTGCAGAGGAAAGCACTAGTTAACCTTCTGAGGACAGTAAAATACTGACAAAATGCAGTGCAGGAAACCCATACGTATTTAGTTACAGAGTCACATTCTTTATCTATTTTTCTCTTAATAGCAGAAGAGTGACTGTAGTAGTTTGACCAAGGGTCCATCTAAGTCCCTGTTCTGGCTCCCAGCTGGTCCAACGTGCCTAAGGAAGGGTAAAGACAAGGCAAGGGTAAATTATATCTCTTTCTAATGCTCTTCCAGCTTCCAACCATTTTAGTTTAAGGCACTTCCAGAGGCTTTTATGGCTTGTCTAATCAGTAACTTCCAATGGACCTGTCTTCCAAGTACTTGTCCAGCCTCCCTCTGCAACCTTGTAGAACTTCTATCATGTACAATTTCCTCTGCAAGAAGTTCCTCAGCTTTAATGCCTGCTGTGTGAAGCACCATCTCATTTTAATTATTTTGAACCTGTCTCTCACTAGCTTCTGCTGGTGGCCCTGAGTTCTTCTCTTGGAAGAGGTGGCAGCGAAGAATGAGTTCCTATCCGCCCTTCCCAAGCCCTTCATTTTCTACATCTGGTCTCTGCTCCAGGCTGTAGTCTCAGCATGGGATTTAGTTGGTATTTACTTTCCATGGCGTATACCTCTGATCCAGACTGATGGTTATACATCTTCATCTGAAACGCAAGACAGTGCAATTTGGTCGTTTGTTGGTTCTAAAGAAAATCTGAGTGTTGGAGGAAGGTGTGACTGTCCCATATGACATGATACAGGATAACTGAGAGTTCACGTGAAGCTGCTCCCTGCAGAGAGGTGTCTAAATTCTATGCTAGAGTTGAGGACGGTATTGTTAAACACCACACTGCAGGGGGCCTTTGGTTAGCGCTGCAGCCATGGGACTGAAACTGTTAGATGATCTCGTGCTTCCCAACAGTGAACCAGTTTCTTTATAGGAGGATCCTATCTAAAATGAGAACAATGTTCTCTTGCATAGTCCTCCCTCCTATGATCTGCTAAATCCCACTGATGGAAAACATACTACCATGAAACTAGCTACTAGACCACTAAATTGGAATTAGATAACTTATCAAACAGTAGCTGCAGGCAAGAATGACATTATCATAATGTTTGTGACTCTCACAAACCAGACCTTATCTCATTAATCCATTTCAGGAAGTTAATTATAAACCATTTAAATTACAGGCTTCTGAGAAGTCCAAGTCTTAAAAATCTTGTTTGTTACCTGATTTGGGCTAAATTTATTTTTCCCACACTTTCTATGAAAAGAATCTGGAGCAAACCACATAAAATAGTTAAAATGTTGTAATATATGTATGCCACATGTTGACTCCGAACATAATAAAGATGGCTGAACAGTTGAGAGTTAAATGTCATACAACTGTTTATGTAAAACTAGAGTGCTGTTGCTTAGCAGGAGTGCAGTGAGACTGTAGCATAAATACATGCTGTTTTCTGTGTTATTCTATGGAATATGTTTTCCAGTTATATGTTTCTTTGGTAGGCAGGTACTTAGCTCCATAGGTGTTAATGATAAAAATCAATAGATACTTCTTGAAGAGAAAGAGTGAGATTTTAACTACTTATAGTGTTGTGAATAAAAGTTTTGCTTTCCCCTGTGAAGAACATTGCCTGGAGCCTTTTTAAACTGACTACCCACTTGAACAGAGTAACCATAAATGGATTATTTTACAAGTACTTGGGATCTTCTACTCTTTATCTGCTGTTACTGTATTGTCCTGGTTCCAGACTGCTTAGTAGACTCCAGTAGCACAATAAGAACAGAAAATCTTGTTTCTGTTATAATACACAGAGTGAAAATCAGTGCCCTGCTGCTATCTGCTGTGCCTGATGCTATACAAATACAAAGCGAAAGAAGACAGTCTTTCTTTAGGTGTGACACAATATGGTGGCAGGGAGGGGACATTCAGCCCCACAGGCATGAATATAGCAAACTTTAGTTCCAAAATCCTATGATACTACTTTTTCAACAGGATGCACACATCATCTAGGTATTGATGAGGGTTGTATAATGGACAAGGCTATTGGGACCCACCTTAATTGTTACAGACCTTGGAAATTCAGCGTAGGAGGAAAAGAGACAGGTCTTATTTAAGGCAGCTGAATGCCACATGAGAGAATCAGATTTTCTCCCTACCTCTGTCCCAGGCTGAATTGCAGAAGAGCTGAGCACTCACAGCTGCAGCGGGAATGTAACTGAAGTTATGCTTTCACGGTACAGCCGGCTCTCTGGTTCAACAGCCTCAGGAAAGTTAGTGCTCACACAAGTTAATTACCCAAATCATGCATTTTGCTTATTTGTTTGTTTGTTACCACAATCTTTCCATGCTATACCTGGCTGTGGAGATAAGAGAGTCCTGTCACTTTGCAAGGAGCAGGTGATGCATTAATATTTAAGAACCACTCAGTTGCTGTAGTGGTAAACACCATCAGAAACCAGAAGCAGTAACAAGTATTGGACAGTGACTCCCATCAGTCTTCAGCTTCAACCAACTTGTCCCAGTCTCTCACCACAATCAGCACAGCTACCTACTAGTTTTCTTCCCCATATTTTTTCTTTCTCAAGCATCCCTCTGTATGAGCAATCTAAAGAAAGCATTGTTTAGAACCTGCCCAAAGCTAAGTCTGTTTGGTAGTGCCTTCCTCTCTCTCGCTTACAGCAGGGAGGTCCAACGGCTTGGTCATTTCAACTTAGAAGTTGCATGTTTGGATCTCAGATTGCTATGTCAATTCTGGATCTGTGTTCAGCAGTCACCTCCAGTTTTGGTTATGCCTCTGCAGTGTGAGGAAACAGCAGAAACTCCAAGATTATGAATAGAGTTTGGCAAAGCAGTCACTTGGGTGCTGCTGCCTTCTGTATGTTCCAGGACTTGCTTTGGGGCATCCTGTACCAGAACAGACAAACGGATGGTAGATGTTCTGCCATCGTTGCTTTGCCTTTCTTCGCCTTCAGGTGGGATGCTGCAGTTCAGAAGTCCTCAGTGGGAACCATGAAGAGACAAAGAATGCATGTGCTTCCATGTTAAGTTTCTCATGCTTGAGTTTTTAAGGCACGTGCACATACCCTAGAGTGGAGATAGGAAAATGCACCATCAAAAACTCGTGTTACTGCTAAGAGTAAACTCTCAGTCAGCAAGTTTTTTTAAGTGTGTGTGGTAAACGTGGTGCCAGGCAATTAACTGCTTGACTCAACAGTGCCATCTGTTACATGCACTGAATGAGGAAGAACTCTGTTGAAAACGTTACACAACTAAATGAGATTTAAGATTGACCACAAAGGTGCAATAGGGTAAAATCTTAATTCTGGGATTTCCTAACTTAGTAGCACCTTACTTTCTTGCATGACTTTTTAAAAATGTTTTGTGTGCAGTAGTTAATCACGCACAATTACTGCTGATCAAGATAGGTTCTGTAGTAGGCTCTGATAATTTATTGCTGGCACTTCACTATTTCAACCTGCAAACTGCTTAACCCTCACTCAGAGCCTTTTGAAAATGGTGAGGGAGGGGGTGTCAGCTTAGCATGTCTGTAGCTTGAAATATGTCATCTGGTTCCATTAAAATTAATAGGGCAATTCACATACTTCAAGTTGTATTTGTGCTGAAATGTCAGCAATTTACAAGATACTAGAGATAATAAAATTGGAAAGAAGATGTAAGAGATGAAAACAACCCTAAAATGGCTTGATTCAGGTTGTGATAATATATTTTTCTCTGGTTTATTGCTATGTTCTGCTGAGATGCACTTGGTTTTTCTCTTTAACTACTTGCTAGTTTTCCTTTGTTGATTGCAGAAGCCTGGAAGGGCAAGAAACAATCCAAAGAAAGGCAGGAAAGGAGAAAAATATTTTGTTCTTTTATTATGGCAATGTCCAGAGGCCTCGCACAGGGTTGTGGTGGCAACGGGCTGCATTCTAGCACGTAGCAAAACAGTATGTGCCCCAAAAGGCTTCTAGGGTAATTTAAAAAGAAATGCGGTATGTGCATATAACTAAAGAGAAGGAAGGTAGGTGTGGGTACCCCAGAGAAGACCAGATGGTTGCACAAATGAGCTATGTGCATAGTGTGATTGCTCTGAGTCTTTTTTTTTTCTAAAAATGATTACGAATAGATATCACTGCCTTCCACATCAGTGACAGCTCATTTGCAACTGAAGAATAAATTAATGAGGAAACAGAGAAGGAACATGGAAACTACAGAGGAAGGGGGAGAGGGATTGTCAGCAAACTGAAGAAGTCAGAAATGCAGTAAGATGGGAGACAAAGCAAGGAGCAAAAACTGTTATAAAACTGGATGTTGAACTTTGATGTATTTATGAGAATGGGATTATTTTTTCTCTAAGTTCATTGACCTTAAAAGGAAAAAAATGCAATAGAATGGTGTAGGTTGTAAGCCAAAATCTATTTTTCTCGCCTTTCTGTCTAGAAAGGTGTTTTCTAAATATATTCCTGTTTTATTTTCAGCATAAGGCTTTGTCGTGACCTGCTTCAAAACTTAGAAACAAGTAGTACTGTCTAGGAGCTTTTCTGCTTTAGAGGTCACAGCTGAGCCAGATTTTTTATACAGCAGCTTGGGGTACGTTCTTGCTTAGGGCACTGTAAACTGGAAGGAAAAAGACTTTTCTTTTTTTAAAAAAAAAAAGTGTAAAGGTGAAACTTTAGGCAAAATGTCACAGTTGATGCCAATGCTTCTCAAACAGTAGGAGGGCAAAAACTTCTGGGTGTCTTTCTTATCGTGGAAGGCAGGTATGCAGATACTTTATCCACTCTGGGTCAGTATGAGAAGAAATAGGTCCATGAAGCTGGAGAAGGGCTAAGGTAAACCAAATATAAAGGAGGCGGTTCTTGTCGGTAAGATGTTTTGCACTGGAAAATACTGCACTGGAGGCACGCTGAGGAAGACCATCTTTAATCAGGAGAGAGGCATATAAGGGACTCAGCTTTACTTCATGGCGGAACAAAGTATGGAAAAGTCCAGCCTAGTGCAGACCTAGAGACGAGGCCCAGGGGTACAGCACTGCAGGGCACTGATCCCACACGGGTGCACACAGCATAGCTCTGACTAGCCTGGTTTCTGGGATTGCGTGTCCTGCTGCTTCCCCTTCTGGAGGTAACTTGGGACCAGTTCGAGCACTTGTGCAGTACTGGCTGCGTAGACATGTGTGAGGGGACCTTCTCCACCTCTGTGCTCTCCAGTGATTCTCAGTTGTTAAATCTTTCAGTACTGAGGCAGCAGTAAGCAGATAAACAATAGGATAGAGTAAATAGATTAATGAACTTGCTAGTGGTACCTTGAATTTGGATTTGAAAGACTATCTACTCAGTGGATTCTTATACAACATAGAAACATAGTGGTTGGTGCCTGCTGCTGTCTAGAAATCAGCATCTTTCAGTGACCGGCTGATACTGGAACACAAGGCAGATGGGAAAGCTTGAGTGACCTGGACTTGATATGAAAAGCATATATCTGAACCCAGACTTTAAATTACTGGTTCTTTTTCTTGTAGTCTCTGACCTTTTCCTTAACGTGCTTGTGGTGGATTGTTTTCTGATGTTTCTTACCTCCATGGTTTTCAGATGGTGGGCAGGAGAGTGGCAGAAATGTTCAACCACGTGTGGCCCAACAGGCCAGAAGAAGCGAACAGTTCTTTGCATCCAGACAGTGGGATCTGACGAGCAGGCGCTGGCTGTCACAGAGTGCCAGCACCTGCTTAAACCAAAGACACATCTGTCATGCAACAGAGATGTCTTGTGCCCATCTGACTGGACAGTGAGCAACTGGACTGAGGTAAATCCATCTCAACTGTGATATGGAATGTTTTTTTAAAAATGACCTATTATAGTCAGCAGAGTGGACCAATGGCCTGGTTTTTTGCCTTCTTTTTTGTAAATTTTTTTTGTTAATTTGTCTTCACAAATCCGTTGTGCAGAAGAAAAAAAAGCTGCCCCACTTGCTAAAGACCTTCGCAAGTTTTGCATGTTAACTGTTTCTAGGGGTTTGGCTTGCTGAGCTTTCGGGACTGTAGCACAGAGCACGCTTGCGTGCTAAACATCTGTGTAATACTCATTACTGCTGTGGCCTAGGTGGGAGGAGGCTCTGTGTCATGTCTGTAGGCCTACAAAAAAGCATTTTTGCATTCTTCACATTCCTATCTCTTACATTCGTAACTCTGCTGGTTTTGCCACAGCATGCAAGCTTTTTACTTCTATTATTAATCTGAAGCCCTAACAAACACTAGAATACCTGTGTATCCTTCAAGAGTTAATTCAATATTGTGCAGTTATTTCACTGGCAGCTGATGAACTGCAGAATTTGAGGTCATCAAAATGATGACTGCAGTATAGTAGATTTGTCTAAATATACTGTAACATATTCTGCAATGTTTGTTAGTATTAGTAGGGAGCACTCATTAGACGTGCTTTGTCATAGGTTTTAATCTGTGGAAGGACCTCATGTTTCTCAGCTTTCTTTAGATTAGGGTACTGGTATTTATAGGTGTTTGACAACTTCACTTTCCATTGAAGCCAAGAAGAGTTCAGGCTCTCCAACACATGGAGCAGTCTAATTCTTCATGAAAACTAAAAATGCATGAAGATATTTCTTCTGGAGTGGGGAGAAGTAGGTTTTGAGTCATTTGAAATTTTAAAATTATTTTATTCTGATTCTGTTATAGTACAGTTTGCTCATGGTTCACCTTACAGATCGGCAGTTTAGCTATCAATGTAGCTGACAATCGTGACAACAAATGCACAACAAATATTTTCCATTTCAGGTGTCAAGTTTACTAAGTTTTTTGAAACTGCCAAGACCAATAATCTGTGTGCAGGCGCTGAATGCACCATTAGCAAGTTTGCTGACGATACCAAACTGGGAGGGGCTGTTTACTCGCTTGAGGGACAAGAGGCCTTGCAGAGGGATCTAGATAGATCAGAGCATTGGGCAACGATTAGTGGGATGAAATTTAACAAGAACAAATGCCGGATTCTGCACCTGGGACGGAGTAACGCCAGACACAAGGACAGACTGAGAGAGGAGTGTCTGGAGAGAGCAAAGAGCCTGCAGAAAGGATCTGGGGGTGCTGGCCAGCAGCAGGCTCAGCAGGAGCCAGCAGCATGCCCGGGCAGCCTGGAGGACAAACCCCATCCTGAGGTGCATCAGGCACAGCATCACCGGCCGGGCAAAAGAGGGGATCACCCCGCTGCAGTCAGCGTTGGTGCAGCCTCACCTCGAGTGCTGTGGGCAGTTCTGGCCCCATCGTTTAAGAAGGATGAGAAGGTCCTGGAGTGTGTCCAGAGGAGGGCAACAAGGCTGGTGAGAGGGCTGGAAGGAATGTCCTGTGAGGGGTGGCTGAGGACTCTGGGCTTGTCTGGTTTGGAGAGAAGGGGGCTGAGGGGCGACCTCATTGCTCTCTGCAGCTTCCTGAGGAGTGGACGTGGGGAGGGAGGTGCCGAGCTCTTCTCCCTGGGACCCAGTGACAGGACACTTGGGAATGGTTCAAAGCTGCACCAACGGAGGTTCAGACTGGACACTGGGAAACAATTCTTTACCGAGAGGGTGGTCAGACCCTGGAACAGGCTTCCCAGAGAGGTGGTCGATGCCCCAAGCCTGTCAATGTTTCAGAGGCATTTGGACAATGACCTTAACAACTTGCTTGAACTTTTGCTCAGCCCTGAACTGGTCAGGCAGTTGGACTAGATGATAGTTGTAGGTCCCTTCAAACTGAAAATACTCTATCCTATTCTATTCTATCCTATCCTATTCTATTCTATCCTATCCTATTCTATTCTATTCTATTCTATTCTATTCTATCCTATCCTATCCTATTCTATTCTATTCTATTCTATTCTATTCTATTCTATTCTATTCTATTCTATTCTATTCTATTCTATTCTATTCTATTCTATTCTATTCTGTTCTGTTCTGTTCTGTTCTGTTCTATTCTATTCTATTCTATTCTATTCTATTCCCTTTTGAAAGGTCTTCTCCCTTCTTTCTCTTCTTTTTATTTACCAAACTCACTACTGTGTTTGCGAGTGGATTCAGGTGATGAAGTAATCGAATTTTCTGACAGTATTAATTCAGTTTATGCTGCTTGCAGACCATCATGTCACAGAATCACAGAACGTTCGGGGTTGGAAGGGACCTCTGTGGGTCATCTAGTCCAACCCCCCTGCCAAAGCAGGGTCACCTACAGCAGGCTGCACAGGACCTTGTCCAGACGGGTCTTGAGTATCTCCAGAGAAGGAGACTCCACAATGTCTCCGGGCAGCCTGTTCCAGGGCTCCATCACCTTCAAAGTAACAAGTTCTTCCTCATATTCAGATGCAACTTCCTATGCTTCAGTTTGTGCCCGTTGCCCCTTGTCCTGTCGCTGGACAACACTGAAAAGAGTCTGGCTCCATCCTCCTGATACCTACCTTTAAGATATTTATAAGCATTTTTAAGGTCCGCTCTCAGCCTTCTCTTCTTCAGGCTGAACAAGCTCAGCTCCCTCAGAGTTTCCTCGCAGGAGAGATGCTCATCTTCGTAGCCCTCCGCTGGACTCTCTCCAGTAGCTCCTCATCTTTCTTGAACTGGGGAGCCCAGAACTGGACACAGTACTCCAGATGGGGCCTCACTAGGGGAGACTAGAGGGGGAGGAGAACTTCCCTCGACCTGCTGGCCACACATTCTTCTTAATGCACCCCAGAATACCATTGGCCTTCTTGGCAACCAGGGCACACTGCTGGTTCATGGTGAACTTGTCATCTACCAGCACACCCAGGTCCCTCTCCACAGAGCTGCTTTCCAGCAGGTCTGCCCCAAGCCTGTACCGGTGCATGGGGTTGTTCCTCCCCAGGTGCAGGACACTGCACTGCGCTTGTTGAACCTCATCAGGTTCCTCTGCGCCCAACTCTCCAGCCTGTCCAGGTCACACTGAATGGCAGCACAGCCTTCTGGTGTATCAGCCACTCCTCCCAGTTTTGTGTCATCAGCAAACTTGCTGAGGGTATACTCTGTCCCTTCATCCAGGTCACTGACGAATAAGTTGAACAAGACTAGGCCAAGTACTGAGCCATGGGGAACCCCACTAGCTACAGGCTTCCAACTAGATTCTACGCCGCTGATGACAACCCTCTGAGTTCTGCCAGTTCTCAAACCACCTCACTGACCACTCGTCATCACCGAATGTCAATTGTTTCATGAATTAAGTGTCCACCATGTTTTAATGCTGGTGAAAAAATAGACCAGGATTGCATGGCTAGCAGGACAATTATATATAGAAATGGCATGCAGTTGGAGAATAGAGACAGTGCACCTATGTCACTGGATTATATTTCCAAGTTACTGACAAAAATAAATTTCTACACCTCTAGAAATTGGGGAGGGAGTGTAGTACAGACTATTTCTCCTGCACAAATGACAGGATTGTCAGGAGACTTGTAACTGCAGAACATTCTTCACTGTTGAATGTAAGGGAGAGATTTTACACAGGCAAAACTTCCTTTTGCTCTGAACTTAACAGGCTGTTAGAAAATCATTCTGTATCTTTTGAACTGAATGTACTTAATTGGGCAGATAATGAGAATAGAGTGTTGTAGCCATTCTGAAATCTGTTTTAGTACACAATCATAATCTAAAGCAGAAATTTTCAAAGCTAATTCTGGGAGACAGCCATTACCCAAAAACTTTAATGAAGTCGGATGTTCCTTTTAATTCACACAAATGCTAATCTAAATCATTCGAGTGGCAAAGTCTGACAAAATTAGTGTGTTGTATTTCTGTGTAAGTCACAACATGGTGTTAGTAGTTGCTGTCTTCCTCAGTAAGCAAAATCCTTTACTGAATAACTTCAGAGATCAAATTGTAGCTGATGTAAACTTGCATAGCTCCGAGTACTATAAATGTACTATACAGCTGGAAGTGCAGGGAGGACAGACAGAATAGCTAATGAGCTTAACTACTCTGGGGTTACGCTGCTTTCCTCCCTGCTCCTTTTGCTGCAGAACTGATGGTATTCTGCAGGTGTTAACAGAGAGAGGTCCAGTAACACAAGGTCACTGGTGTTTCTCCTGCCCCATGACCTAGACTAGCTCTGAAAAGGGTTAGCTATTCCAAGGGTTTTAAAGTGCTGGCAATGGGAGTGTTCATCACTTCATGTTGAGCACCTGGTTTACACCAGTTGAATTAGCTGCTCAGGCTCCCTTGCATCCCAGGAAGACTTCTTCCAGTAGATTGTATGTAACATCTCCATTCACACCCAAGCAGTCGTCCAGCCTTAGTACCTCAAACCAGAGAAGTGTGTTGAAATTTCAGAAGGTCCTCAGTGGAGGGACAGCTGTTGAAGGCATGGCTGTGCCTGTGGGGCTGGCATCACAGAAAAAATGGGTCTCTGTAGCTTCAAGCACCCTTAATACACAACAGTGCTTCCATGTAAATTCAAGCCAGATAGATTAATTACTTTCAGTAATCTGTAATTTAGGAGAGACATGCTCGTAGCCTGTGGTGGTTGCACTAAGGCTGAATGAAAAATCCATTTCATAAAGTCAACAAGGGTTTGTGAGCTGCATGGATTATCACAGCGGGTTTGTGGCACTGTGAGCAGCCAGCGCTGAGCCAGTCCGATGTGTTTTTGATGACAGGTTTTTAGTCTGTTTTTTATAACCCTGGTGGAAAAGGTATTGGCTAAACAACGTTTGTGATTCAGTGAAGAAATCAAATTCTAGCATATTACTTTCATATTTTGTCTTCACCGTGTAGTCTTTTTTTCACTGCTGTTTCCCCAAGGTGACATTTACTGTTCTAAAAACCTGGAAGGAGCTCCGTAATAGCAGAACTTCACTAAAATGAAGAGCTTGTTCCTTAGGAAAAGCTTTGTTATTTATTGTTTCTAATGATGCATCTTTATTATAAACAGATGCCTTTTGATACTTACTCTATTTCTTTTGCAGTGCACAGTTACTTGTGGTGGTGGAATAAGGACTCGCAATGTCACTTGTGCAAAAAATAACAATGAGCCATGTGATACTTCCAAGAGACCAAACTCTAAGGCCCTGTGTGGTCTCCAGCAATGTCCTTCTGCTGGAAGATTTCTGATACCCCCACTGGCACCCAGAAGAGGAAGGATCATAATCAGAAAAACAAGTACTAATCGCAAACAGAGTCCTCCTCGCAGAATACCCATACCAAGCCCAAGGTCCCATACGACAACAAAAATACCCAAGTCTGAAAGTGTAACTCCCTGTTTGCCTACATCCTATGGTCTGGGTAATGTCTCAGAAAAAGAAGGAACAACCAACAAAACATTACAAAATAATTTTGTTGGACCAACTGATGTTTACAGTTATCCGGTTGTTTCTACTGAAAACAGTTCACACCAAAATACTACTTCATGGCCTTTTCGTAATAGCGTAAGTACTGAAATTATAAGGCATGCTGAAAATATTTCTAAAAGGGAGCCAGTTTCTACTATAGAGAGTGACGTTCAAGAAAGTGAGGTCAGCCCTATCTCCTCTTTTACCAGTAGTCCAGAAATAACTTCCAGCTATGATTACTTAACTGAAGAATCTGATGATATTGATGGGTCAGTTGGAGGCAGTGAGAAACCGATTGATCTGCTTTACAGCACAGAACTTAATCCTGAAATCAGAACCAGGAGCACAACCCTAGATACCGGCTCTCCTATCTTTCAAAAAAGAAGCATGACTTCTCAGCCCACCCCTGCATCTCATCACCAAGAACCTTCTACACTCCTCCCTGTTAACAGAGCAGCGCAAGGACTGGCATTTCCAACAACAGCAAACTACATCAGTCTGCAAGTTGGTGTGCCTGTTGTAGAAGTAACTACCCAAGAAGCATCTGTTACAGTAATGCCCACAGTGTTTACTCATGTACCGAAAGACGAGAGCGACAACAAAACAGAAATGAAGCTGCTTAACACCATAACCTCCAGCACACAGTCGTCAACTCTTGAGCATGTTATTGGGAACCAAAGTGCAGCATCTGAGGAGGTTTTGATGAATGTCACACCAAACAGCCACCTAGTAACATTGAACAGTTTGCCTGGTGATGCCTATTGGATAGTAGGCAACTGGAGTGAGGTACGTTAGTCCTAAGCAGTGGAGAGTGTGAAAAGCTGTCTGAACCACTGCTAAGGAGATAAAGCTTCTTAGTTTGTCGCAATTGTATGAAATGAGTATCACACATTCAGATTAAATACTTACCACACACAAAAAATGGTAACTTGGGATACCTAATGTTAGATGGCTTAAATAGAACATGTCTGTATTTACGGATTCTGCAAAACTATGCATAACTCTTCCAGGGACACAACATTCAGGTTTGACTATAACCAGAAATAGTTCAAGAATTTTGTTTTAGGGCAAAAAAATTGAGGTGTCAGATGAATCCTGGAGACACCAAATTAATATGCTTGCATTTCCAAATAAGTACAGAACACAAATTAGCTGTAGATGTGCTGTCAAGTTCTAACCTTCACTTGCTTGTCGTTTCTCTCTAAATTGTGTGTTTTCTAATTTTGTATGTGACCAGAGTCATGTAGATAAGCTAGCTTTATTACTGTATAAAGCACATTAATAACATGGATACATAAACATATTTTTAGTTGGCTATTATTGTAACAGGTTTTTGTGTTGCATTTCTATCTCATCTCACCATCAGCGTTTGCATCCACCATTAAGCAAATACCTCCAAACTCAGAGCAGCATTCTACCTAGTAAAACCAGTTTGAATCTACAAAGCAAAGATAAGAAGATTAGTCCAAAATTAAACTGGTATATCCAGGGTTTGTAATTTGTCCAGCACATGTCCATCGGGAGACATTGTAACATGGAGTTCTGCACCTTTTTTTTGAAGTTAGGTGATTGTATATTGGAACTAGGTTGTAGCAGTAGTAAAGTAAAAGCATTTTGTCTGGCTGGCATAGAAGTTAGAATTGTCAGGCCAGTGGTTGTGGCTGTACAGTATCTTTGGATACAGCAGCTGATAATTACAGTGGTATGCTGTTTCTTGTTTGAATGTAGAAATGAAGTTACTTTATCTGTGTTAATGGCTGTGACAAAATGAACTTTCTAATTTCTAATGGTAATGAAATTCAATCAAAACAGTTGTCAGCATCCTGCAGTGCTCACTTTTGAAAGCGCTGTCTTTCTGTTTGAGTAAATGAAACAAGTACAGGGAGTTCAAAAACTGTTTTGACATGTAAGCTATCTGGAAAATAGTTGGTCTGAAAGGTGATGACTTGTCCCAGTTTCCCCTGATCCCTGGTCATTACTGAATGGTTAGAATACTTGGGTAACTTCTTCTGTGCAGGAGCAATGTAGTTTGTGAAGTTTTCTATGGCCTCAGAGAAGTGTTTACTATTTTTTATATATTGCTATTGACTTTCCTTTACCAAAACCCAGCACCAGGATTTTTGACAGCTAGGTTTCTGTGCTGTTACATTGCTGTGTCCTGAGATAGTAATTTCTGTGGGGTCAGGGCTGGTGAGGGGCCAACCACCTAATTCTGGCAACTATAATAAAAGAATATAGAATAAACTGCTATTTAATATCCTTCCCACTGTAAAATTCTATTTTTATGTAGACAGAATTCTTTTTATGCTAATGGATTTTATATTCTTCAAATCACGACACCTAAAGTGATAGACTTTGGTATCTGAAGGAGTTACCTCATTTTTCTGATGGCCTTTTTTAACCAAGCTAATCAGTACAGCCAAGATTCCAGATGTGGAAACTCCCTTGCGCTGATCTGCCACTGTGTCTCAGTCCTCACTGTTTCTCGGTACCTGTTTGCTCTTGGGTCCGCCTGGAATGATGCAAATTCATGGAAATGCAGAAATGCAGGGCTAAAAAGGACAGCAGGAGATGACTTAGTGTATCCCATGGCACTGTGAGCGCAGTTAGACTGCTGAGACTCTGGTGGTGCCCTCGGTCTGGATGCTGCCGGTGGGTAAGACCTCTGCTGTGTCACCACTACATCAGCAGTTGTTCAGGACGTGCACTCCTGATGGCAGTCTGAAGTTTCATCTTGTGCCTTCTCATGGCCAGCAAAGAATGTCTTTAGCTTCCTGTGTTCAAGTGAGACACGTGGAGCATTTCCTTCTGCACGTGCCCAGGGATCTGCTTAGATGCATTTAGATCTGCTTGGGTGAAAGAGCCTGCAAGAGAAACTCCAGGCAAAGGTGGTGCTCCCAAGCCCAGCACATCCCAAACAGAAGTCTGTAATATGGAGGTGCTAAAGTCTGTCCTAGTCATTCATTACCCGCATTAGAAATATTTTCCTTATACATAACCAACATTTTCTGTACTGAAGATTCTATTTTTTATATGCAGACCATGGAAGATAATTTTCTATTAAGAATTACTGCTATTAAAATAACTGGGTTTGGATCTGTTTTCTAAACAAAGCAATCTGGTTATTTTCATATTTTCCATGTGTTTTCTAAATATCTGGTGACTTCGTTGTTCTATTGACTAGCTCAGTTTCATCATATATTTCTTTATCAGTGATATTCATTATGGCCCCAGCTGACACCTGGCGAATAAAATGGAATAATTACTATATGTGACCTTCTGTGTGAATGCTGGGATGAGATTTGTCTTGTTTTGTAACCATCCCACTTTGATTTATTTAATTTGTGGTCTATTGTAAACCCTGGATCCCTTAATGCAGTATTTCCAGATCAGCAGTTGTGCGCAGTTTTCTTTGGGGTGTGTATATAGGTGAGCTCATGTGTGTGTATATATATGTATATATATATATATCTGTATAAAAAGCTCTCCATAAGTGTAGGATTTGCCTATGTTTTTGAATTGCAAGTTACTGTTTTCTTACAGTTTTCAACTTTGTGAGATGTTTTTCAATTCAGATTGCGTCCTCCAACATTCCTGCCAACTCTCCCATCTTGGCATCATCTGCAGATAAGTGCATGCTGTCTTTCATCATTCAGTTAGTTAATGAAAATACTGAAGAGAGCTTGGTCCCAGACAGAGCCTTGCAGGACCGTATTTGAAATGCCTTTTCATTTTGAGATTGCATCACTGAGGACCACTTTATTGGTTTTTCAGTTAGCTGTGCACCAATCTTGTAATTATTTCACCTAGACCATATTTCCATCATTTGCTAAAAGAATGCTCTGTGAGATCATGTCAAAATGCATCACATCAGCTGGCTCTCTATTTTCATTAAGCCAGGTACCCCTGTTAGGGAAGGATCATAGAACCATAGCATAGTTTGGGTTGGAAGGGACCTTTAAAGGTCATCTAGGTCCAACCCCACTGCAATGAGCAGGGACATCTTCAACTCAGTCAAGTTGCTCAGAGACCTGATGTTAGACTGACTTGAATAATTTGTTCTAGATAGGTCCATGTGGGCTGTTTTATTGCATTATCATCTTTGTTAGTATTTACCATTTTAATCTTGATTGGTTAATAATTTGCTTTTGTATCTTCTTGTGAAGTAAAGTTAGGTGGAGTGTTCCATTAGTCCACAGATCTGCCTTTTTCTTTTCCTAAAGATAACTTGAAAGGTGTTATTCTCTAATCCTCTGGAACTTTCCCAAACTATTTTAAAAAATAATTTTCAACAGTTCAAAGTTTATTCAAGAATACTTGAATAAATACTCAAGTAAGGTCAGTTAATTTGGTTTCATGTAACTGATGAAATCAATTCAAGGATACTTAATGCATCTAACTTACTTTACTGTTCATTAGTGTTCTAGTAATCTTTTGCTATTCTCATTCAAGCTATTGTTTCTTGTTAAAATTAACTTTATGTGAAGCCTGGCACATTTAACTTATTTTTTTTCCAAGTTTGAAGAAGAAGAGGTGGTGAAAAAGAGAATTTGTGGAATCTCTGTCCTTAGAGGTATTCTGAAGCCATCTAGACATGGTTCTGGGCAACTGGCTCTATGTGGCCACCCTGTTTGAGCAGGGGGGTTGAACAAGATGACATGCAGAGGTCCTTTCCAACCTCAACCTTTCTGTGATTCTGTAAATAAGTCAGCTGTTATCTTTCTCATAAAATAAAAGTTTTGTATTTCTTCCCCACATATTAATTCTAACATTCACAGAACCTTTTCTTATTGCACATTACTTTTAATTCATTTTTAGTCTACAATGTTTTGACTTCGTATTTGCTCTCTCTATTTACCTGTCTTTAGTAAAACTTTGTGCCTGTTTTTAGATGATGTCTCTCCAAGGCGTTGATACTTCAAGACCATTGCATCTGCCTAGTTGAATGTCCTAGTATGATCTCTTATCTTTCTCTTTTAGTGACTGCCAATATTCTTTGTTCTTTACGGTACATCTATACTAGTAAATAAATAGTGCCTATGAGTAGTGATAGTCACTGAGATGAATTGGTGTGACATGTCCCATAATGCTGTTGACATCTACCTCCCAAGGGGCAGCACTAATTAGAGCAAGGTAAAACAGTGCCGAATGACAGCGGCACCTGTGTCTTTAACTTTTGACTTCTTTCCTACTGCTTTCCTGGGTTGTTCTGTGCTGTCACTTTTCCCTTTTTTAAGATTTTTGGGTACCAAATACACCCCATTACCACCAGATCTGCTTATTCTACACCTCTGTTGTTGGTCATGAAAAGTCACCTGCACTTCCTCCATCAGTAACAGACATCTATACTGTGACAAGAGGAAGTCTTGGTTCCTAAATAACAAAAAGGAGAAGCAATAAGTCTTCGTGAACTTCAGAGCAGTCAGCCTCCTTTATGTAACATGAAACAATGGTAAAGAAAGCTAAAGCTTTCTCCCAGTACTATATGCAGTATCATGCCTTTCTCTCTTGGCTCTGTACCTGCACACAATTTTTGAAAGAATCCTGCTGTGTTTCACCTCCCTTAGACAAGAACATAAAGCTTTTAAGTATGATCTGCCTGGCATCATCTCTGGAGCTATCTTTGGTCTTCTCATGAATGCTGTGAATGGGGCTTTGGTCAAAGACTAAGCAGGCCCTTCAATAAAGTCCTGGTGTTGTCAGACTGGTACAGCAAGGCTGGTGGGAGCCACCAAACGGTCACCAACAAAGACAAGGACAGTCTGTCCTTTTGAACAGACAAGTTGTCTTTGATAGTTACAGGAGTATGCAAAACTGAACAGTGGTATGCTGTCACCTTTGACAGGATCTTTGTGGTCTCTTGGACAAATATCCTAGAAATCTTGGAAGCTGGAGATGGCATGCTTCAGAGGCCTTGAAGATTCACTTTTCATAGTGTGCACTTTTTCAAAAATAGTTTGTTGTGACCATTAACCATTCTTCCATTTTTCTGATTCAATCTGGTAACAGCTCCATGTCTTCAGTGGTTTTTTTTTCCCTGCCTTAGCTTCAGCTTAGCTTTCCTTGTCGTTCCAAGGACGCTTACTCAGCTTTTCCTGTTTAACTCTCCCAGTTCTGTGTTGGGAGTTCAAACCACACAATAGCAGTTGCTCCCTTCAGCATTTTGCTGACTTAATCCAAGATTCCTTATGCTGTTTCTCATGCTGGCTACAGGCTACTTGGTATGTGTTGGATTTGACTCTATGCATACAGTTCAATGTCCCTCCCTTTTTAAGGGATAAAACGGTAAATGGGTGTCTCCAGCCACTTTTCACCTCTTCCTGCTTCAGAATACTAGGATAGTGACTTTTTTTGGTGAAGAGCTTTTGCACTCTTGAGATCTGGACTGGCATGATCAATATTCTCTTGCCTCAGATACTGAAACCCTCACAAATGTTGGAAACACTTAGGCACTCTCTGAATTAATAATTTCAGAAATCATTTTCCTGCAGTTTTCCCAAGAGTGTCATACAATTTATTTCAGACTTTCAGCATCATGCACTCAATTTGCTGAATATCTCAGCAGCAGCATTGGGAATAGAGAGGGAACAGTGCTGAAGATTGGATGCAATGACATTTTGCATTGGATCCCCAAAGATCACATAAGGAAACAGTGGAACAGCTGGTACAGATTTAGAATGTCTCAGTAAGCAGAAATTTGCCAAAGAACAGCAGTGCATGGTACAAATCAGAATTGTTTTTTTCTTAACAAAGCAACAAAAAGACCTTGTTCAGAACGTGAAGTAAGATTTAGGTGAATTTGAACTCCTCTTTTGAGTGTCTCAGATAAACTAGGTCATCTAAAATGGGTCTAGATATTTATATTTAGGTTCTTAGATTGTTTCCAGAATGATTTACTAACGTTGAGTTTGTCCCTGGGCTTTCCTCTCACCCTTGTGCAGTGCTCTACCACCTGTGGAATGGGGGCTTTCTGGAGACACGTGGAGTGCAGCAGCAGGAACACATCTCACTGCCAGCACCTGAAAAAGCCTGATCCTGCGAGAAAATGTTATCTCCGCCCATGCGCTAGCTGGAAAACAGGAAATTGGAGCAAGGTAACTTCATTCAGAGCTGTGTGTGAACAGTAAGCTTGCTCACTTCAAAGAGGAGGGAGTTGTAAATACTTAATTTTTAAAATAATTATTTACTCAGTAAATGTATACATGATTCCTAGTTGACCATTCAGCACTAATTTACTAATTTGCTAAGTTATTTATGGAAACACATTTGCTGTGAATTCTGTTCTTCCTGCTTGGAGGTCATGCTCATTAGCTCTTGCATCTAGAGCTAAAGCAGGACTCACTGTCTATATTCTGTGGAGATCCTAGGGCAAAGCTGTACATACTGGCATGTGGCTCCTTTTTGATCTGTGCCTCCAGAGGCATATTCTAATTTTAAAAAGCAGGTGAGAGTTGGGAGAGGGAGTTGGCATGTTCTATTCACCTTTTCCAGTGTGTATTCATCTCTTTCGTGACATTGTCTGTTGCCCATTCATGTAACCTCTGAAGTTTTACATTACAAAAACTAAAGAAAATGTATTGGGGAGAATGTCTGTTATGTCTAGGCTCTTATTTGGTCCTAGCTGCGTATACAGGCCTGGTCAAGAGACAGAAGAGTGTCCAAGGTGGTAAATGGAGCCTAAGGAATTGTGTTTGAGTTCTTTTTTGATATTGTAAGATGTGTGATGAGCACCTGGAAGGAGTTCGGTGACTTCTTGAAGCTTGTTACATTTCGTCTTCATGGTGTCTAAAATTGGTTCTTCAAACATTGGGTTATTTTTCAAGACTCAGAAGAGAAAAACTACAAAATTCTATCTGAAATAATGTGGATTTAATAAAGAAGAAGATAGATCTCTCAAACTTTCTCAGTTGTTTTTGCAGACGATATTGTTGCCATTGGACTAGAGGGCAGATTCATACAAAGAAGAGGCTGCAGAAAAGGTTATAGTTACAAAACCTGCATTATATTGCTGAGCTCTTTGACATAGAACTGATTTGTACATGAAATAAATGCCTGTTTAGAAAGTCCAGGCAAGGCCAAGGCATTACATAACCACATTTAAGCCTTCAAAATTAATTTTAAATGATACATAGATATTCTGCAGTCCCAGCTGCAGTAGGGCATATTTCACCTTCACTTTTTCTTCATAAATGTTACTGCTCTTGGAACAAGTGGATGATACTTATGTCACAGAAAGTAGCTAGAAATCAGGTTTAATGATAAAACATCATAGGAAACAAATGCTTTAAAGTGTCGGTCCATTTGTGAGGCTAGTTTGAGACAAAATATAGAAAAATGACTGGGGTTTATTTGCTCTTGCAAGTGGCAATTGTTTATCTCACTACTCATTTCAAACATTTTTAGGGCACCTTGTCACAGCAAGATGGCTATATTCCCCTGCTAGTGTAGTAGACTTTTCTCTGTTCCTTTACTCTTGTCTAATTCTTCCCATCCCCTAAAAGAAAGGTGATTCAGACTAGAACTTACAGTCTGACTTTAATACCAAATATAATTTGCACGTATATTGGGGCTACGTGTGCTCAGTTTCTTACATAGTCACTTCTGTCCGTTGTTTCTATCCAGAGGGACAGAAGCTTCTGTGAACATGAGTATGGACTCCCCTTCCATCCATCTTTCAGCTCCCAGGGGAAGTATTACATTCAGGTTCCTTGTTCAACTGAAGAATGCGTATTTATGCAAAGGAGAACAGCATCAGTTGTTATATTGCATCATGGTGGTAAAGATGAAAGCTGATCTGAGGTTATTCAGCGGTGTAGGCAGAATTGGCTTTAATTCTGTATGAAGACAAAATAAGTAAATGTTTATTTGTCCTTATCCTTGGGGTAGCAAATTCAGTTCTTCCTCAGTAGCAGGAGACGTCCTGGGCTTTGATATGTGGGGATAGAACCCGGTGCTGCTGCATGAGGCCTTGGAGCAGGCTCTGGGGAGAGACAGGAGACTGAAAGGTCTTGCTTGGCTCACCAGTAGTGCTCCATGCTGAGAAGTGATTTCACAGGCTGTGAGTGAGGCTCAGGGTGTCTCGCTGTTCTCTCCCATTCTCTCACGCCCCCACTGCTCTTGGGGTATGAATCCTCCTGGTACCATGGGGGACCAGTGAAGGTGGGGGTGGGAACTGCTGCTCTCCCAGTAGTATCAGCAGCAACTCTAATCTGTAGGCCTTATAAGACGAGGAGCAGTTTTGCCAGCTTGAGCAATCTGCTGCCGTGGACACCTACCTCTTCCATGGCTGAACGAGAAACAGCTCATACAGCTGTGCCTCTTTCCTCCCTTCCTCCAAAACAACTAAAGAACCGACAGTTTCCCTGCATACAGGATTTGCTTTTTGTATTTATTGCATTATGACTCTTTCACTATGACATTTTTGGAAATAGCTGGCAACATTTCCTAATTAAATATGCATCCGTGTTATTAATGGATATTCTAGTGAAGAAAGAGAAATATTTATGTGGTGTGTTCTGATCTGCTGTGATGAAACCCACAGTTTTTAAACCTAACAACAGATTGTTGTTATGGTAAACTGGAAATTTCCTTGGTGAGTCAGGATGCTCAAAGCTGAGGCCCGTCCTTCTCCTCTGTGACTGGGGAAGGGACAGCTGCTCAGCAGAGCATCATTTGGAGATGTGCCGCTCTCTGTTTTCTTTACAGTGCTCTGCTAACTGCAATGGTGGTTTCAAGACCCGAGATGTTCACTGCATTGATGTTCGTGAAAAGCGACTTCTCAGGCCTTTTCATTGCCAATTACTTGGATATAAGCCACAACTCAACACTAGCTGTAATATGGAGCCTTGCTTGCAGTGGCATGTGGAGCCCTGGAATGAGGTATTGTTCTTTAGAGGAAGCTTTGGGAACGAGCAGTTAGGTGTCAATTACAGAATCCCAGAATCCCAGAATGGTAGGGGTTAGAAGGGCCCTCTGGGGATCAGCTAGTCCACCCCTCCTGCCGAAGCAGGGTCACCCAGAGCAGGCTGCAGAGGACCTTGTCCAAGCGGGTCTTGAATATCTCCAGAGAAGGAGACTCCACAACCTCCCTGGGCAGCCTGTTCCAGTGCTCCATCACCCTCAGAGGGAAGAAGTTCTTCCTCATGTTCAGACAGAACTACCTAGGCTTCAGTTTGTGCCCATTGCCCCTTGTCCTTTCGCTGGGCACCACTGAAAGGAGCCTGGCCCCATCCTCCTGACACCCACCCTTCAGATATTTATAAGCATTTATTAGGTCCCCTCTCAGCCTTCTCTTCTTCAGGCTGAACAAGCTCAGCTCCCTCAGCCTTTCCACGTAGGAGAAATGCTCCAGTCCCCTCATCATCCTCGTAGCCCTCCACTGGACTCTCTCCAGTAGCTCTTCATCTTTCTTGAACGGGGGAGCCCAGAACTGGACAGAGTACTCCAGATGGGGCCTCACTAGGGGAGACTAGAGGGGGAGGAGAACCTCCCTCTACCTGCTGGCCACACATTCTTCTTAATGCACCCCAGCATGCCATTGGCCTTCTTGGCAACCAGGACTAATTAGCAGTGACTATTAGATCCCATGCTGTTAGGTAAACTTTTGCTCAAAGGAAGACACACTGCTAGTACTACTCAGAGGCTCTGCAGTCTTTGTGTATGGTTACAGCAAAAACTATCACAGACGTTTTTAAGACTTCCCAGAATCATTCCTACGATTGCATGTGATACATGGGTAGAGCTGTCAATTCCCATACTGGGAAACAGAGAAGCAGATGGACTGGAAGATTTGTTTTAGTGAACCTACTGGATCAGTAAATGTGATTCACTCAGACTGATCCCTTTTGCTGCCATTTTAATGTTGCTTTCTCATTATAATTAATTTAGAATTTTCCTTTACACTTTCAGACTGGAATTTTATGGGACCAGAGACTGAGGTCAAACATAAAATAAATCTGACTTTTGGGTCCCTTTGTAATATAAATCTGTGCCAACAAACTTTCACGGGCAGCCAGGCACGTATTCATGTCAGCTAAAGCACATGACCTGATTACATTTTAGTGTTTGCTCCCACTAAAAGCAGCTTTGGAGAAAGCACCACAATGTTAGCAGCACTGTGGACCCGATGCTTTTGGATTTCAAGGGACGTGATCACATTGCTTTCTTATAGACTACTGTAAGGAAGCAATGCCACACCTGCAGTAAGGAGGAGACCTCATCCCATGTGCAGTGTGTGGGTTTCCTGTCAGAGCAGTCAGCAAAAATAAGAGTCGCCAAATTATTGCACTCATTTGCTGCTTAAAATATCTTAAAAAACCACATGTCCAAGCCTGGCAGTTGTCTTCATGCTGAACATACTGGATAGAATTGAAGAGGTTCATTTATCAGGTGTCAGCTCTGGTCCTCTGTCCATAGGGATGCAAATCCTTGTCAGAAAGGAACAATGCATTATTCAAAATGTATCTGGTGCTGTATTTCATGTCAGAGTACGAAATTATTGGTGTATTTCAAGGCTTTGCTGCAGACCTAGTGAATAACAGTAAAAAATGAGTTGCGAAGTAATAATAGACTAATAGAATGTGGACAAAAGAATGTTAAACAAATAACTTGGGTCACTGTCTTTGTATGAAGCTTTTATTGCCAAATAATTAATTTATTGTATGCATTGGGTGAATTTTAATGTCCCAGACCGCCTCATAAAAATGAGATGTTGCATCTCATGAACTTGTGGTGTCTTCAGTAACTATAGCAGATTAATCCTGCAGACATGTGACTTCCCATCTCATTCCAGTTGGTGAAGATACTGTTGCTGGAGGTGCTGCATGAGCAGTTCTGTGTTGCCTGTTTATGTTGCCACTTCTGTGCTGTCCTGTATCCCTTGCATTAATACATGTCAGGGCAGCTTTATACCATGTATTTTGGACCAATAGTGGCTTCTTCCCTGTCTCTTCCCAAGCATACAATGAAATAAATGTCTCAGTGCAGAGCTTTTCTTCGTATCTGGACTGTAAGACTTGGTATGCAGGCTACCCTGTGCATCTTTCTAAATCACATGGGTCAGTGACATGCTTCTTGTTACCCCTGGATCCACATTTCTAAATGAAGAACATTTCCTACCGTCTTTATGGTCTGTTTCTGGGTTCTCATCCATTCCTACCTCTCTCCTCATGGGTTTGTGCATCTCTCTTGTTAGTGTTCAAGAACATGTGGTGGTGGCCAGCAAAAGCGACATATCTATTGCCCAGAAGAAGGCTACTGTGACTGGACAAAAAGACCTAATGCCATTGCATCATGTAACAGGCAACCTTGTACGCAGTGGATTAACCAGGCATGGGGCCCGGTAGGATTCAGTTCTTTTTTGTTTTATTTGTTGTCATGAGTTGGCCATGTCTGGTCGTATTATCCTCTTGGCTGTGATCCACAGCTGGAGCTACAAAGGTAGATCTTCTGAAAATATTACTAAACATTTCAGAGCCAGCCGATCTCAGTTCCTGCAGGTGATAGATGTTTGTTGCTGCATTAGATGTTGTTGGATGGTGGGCTGGTTTTTTTTCCCTTTTCTGGCAAAAAAGGGGTTACCATTACCATTCTTCCACTACTCATTAGAAATTTTCCACTGGAAGAGGCTATTGAGTAGCAAAGGCAACCATGTTCAGTTAGATATAGAAGAAGTTAACATTTCAAGAGGATGGCAGGACAGACCATCTTTAGAGAGGGAGGGAGAAGCTTGAATTGCTAATAGAAGTCCCTGATACATGCCTAGCTGAATCCTTCCAAGTACAACCAGGCTGTTTGATCTGTCCGTGCTTCTGGAGCCAGTCCAGTCATTGTAATATTTTTGCTGTTCGAGACTATTTTAGAGGGCGGGGAGGTGACCCTTAAAGCAACTTTGTGGAATATTGGACTTGCCCACGCAAATAGAAAATCTGAATTTTACCCAATAGCTCTCTACTTTCACTTCTGGAAATCTAATTGACAAATATGAGATGTATCTTTGGGGAACCTTCCAGTATGCAGTATGTCTTTAGTTATAAAGAAACTGGTAATGTCTAATAAATCTTTCCCTCCAGTTTCCATAATAAACCTAATCATACATGACAAATAGTCCTCACACCAGAAGAGAACATTGAAAGAACACCAAAAGCCAGGAGCCACAAGTAAGAAAATAATGGAAAGTCATTTAACATAGAAGACTTGGTGAGTTGGTTTTGACATAAAGCCATTAGATGGGATATGAGTATAATGTAATGTAGAGTCAGTGTAACTCTTAATACTTAAATACTGAAGAGAAAATGTTGGGACATGCATAAAATAAGTAACTGAATACCCAAATGAATACCAGCTATTTTACAGATTTATTAATCCCATTAGTTTTACTTTATAAAAAAAACATTTTAAACATTAAACTAAAGTTGCTGCAGGAGTACCTAAGATCTTTTAAAGTACTTCACACCAGTAATATTGTGTCTTATGCACAGAGATATACATTAGAGAGAGGATAATTTGCGGGAGAATTAAAGAGGTACCAGTCCTGTCTTCATCTCTTGCACTTCATTAGCTGGCATTCTGCGTCTGTTGAAGTATTTCTCTTGCTGGGCACTATTTATCTGAAGAGAAAAAGCATTTTAAATTAACTGGAATTCTCAGATGCTCTGGGATGTCAGAAGAATTAAGTACATTTACAGAATAATACAGGAACATGTTTTGAAAATGTGGGGTTTTTTATGGCCATCTGTGTGCAGCCGCAACAAACAGCTGGCAGTTGTTTCACAGTCATAAAGAAAGAGTAACCACAGTGTAGCTGTCACCACAGAAAAAACATCTCACTGAGCTTTGTTTAAATCTTCAGCTCCGTCATTTCTAGACCTAACATTGCAATTGATTATTCCTGTTTAATTTAGATGGTGAGAACACTGGGAACAAAAAATGTCGGTGTGCAGTACCAGTTTGGATTACTACTCTCTTACTTTGTAGGACTTATATTTCAGATCCTCCTCCTCCTCCTCTGTAGAAAACAGTCCTCCTACCCTGATTACACATTCCAAGATCCTGTATTTGTCCTATTTACCCCTCCACCATAACCTGCCAAATCTGGCCACGATGCACCATGGAGGTGTCTGGATGGAGAATGCAGTACACAAAGTACTTCAGTGTCATTGGTTCTGGATCATATGGCATTTTTACCTTTCCATCACATTACAGGTCAAATATTGGTGTTACATGATTTCCACGTAAAAGACTTTTGCATGTGTTAAAATTACTCTCTTTCAGTGCACTGTTTCTTGTGGAGGGGGCATTCAGCAAAGAGCTGTGAAGTGCATGAATATAGAAACTAATGAAACAGAAGATGACAGTCTGTGTGTGCATAAACCCAAGCCCACAGTGTATCAGAAATGCAATCTGCAGGAGTGCAGGAAAAGTACAGGTATGATAATATAACTGCATCAGACAATTTCCAAAAAGCTCTCCATTTGTTGAGATTCTGCAAAAACTGGGAGCTGACCCAGTCTGTCAGCCTGTTGTGACTACTACTCCTCAGTAATTCCAGGTCAGCCTAACCGGCTACTGCTCAGCTGCACTGTTGGCAGAATCACGTTGTTGGGTTCTCCAGCCATACTGGCCTTGTGTTGCCATGATGGGGAACACAGTTCTCTGAGCGTGCATCCCTGATTTATGATGCCACAAGTAAATGAATAGGTTTGCTGTTATTGACCTGCTTTAGGTAACTCACAGGCTGCTTTGAGGGCTGTGGAAGCACATGTGGGTCCAAACAGATGCCATTTCTTAAGGCAGATACCGCTATAGGAAGCACAAATTCTGGACTGGGAGTTACAAGCAAGCAAAGAGAGACAGACGCTGTAAGAAAAATCTGACTGGCAGTGAACCCAGATACAATGTTGGCACTATGAATTCAGTGCCCCACAATGTGAGACTGTCTCCAGAATGAAGAAGTGAAGTCCCCTTGTGTCGCAGGGTGTCCTGTACCTCTCTCCTTCAAGGGCCCAGGAGCCCAACTGTGTACGTGCCCAGAAAAGAAAGGGGCTGGAGAAGCTTAGAGAAGGGTATCTTTATCTGTATTTGTGACAAATACAAAGTGGAGGAAAACCTGAAGCTCTGTAGTCTGTACTGCAGTATCCAGGTCCCCTAAGATAAGAACAGCAACAGCTCAGAGTCCTGCTGGAAGAGCCTTCAAAGGCCTTTCGGAGGAGAGTTCTTCCCTCTTAGCAAGTCAGCAGGAGTCCAATCTGGCAGTGAGACAAGAGGTTGACTCCTGAGGGCAACGCAGATCTGGCATACACTTGAGAGTGATGCATCACTCCTGCTGTTCAAAGATCTTTAAGCACATTTTGCCTTAGGGTTGAATTAATCTTCTTATCTCCTTCATGTTCAGAAGGACAGGCTTAGAAAAATACTGTCTACACAGGTTATTAATAGTTATTTCTGTGAATAAAAGCTCAAGGGGACAGTAAAACACATAAGAAATGCCCTACTGGGTAGACCACTGGTCCATGCAACCTGATCCTGTGTCTCCAGCAGTGGCATTAGAAGATGCTACTTAGGGAAAATACGGGACCTTAGTCCTTTCCTGTGATTCATTTCCAGCTATCCCTCCAGCATTCTCAACTGACATATTAGGACTACCAAAGACACCCCTTTTAGTGCCTTTAGTTTAAATTTATGGAACTTACTCCATTAATTTGTTGCATCCCTTTTTGACCCTGAGGTGCTGTCTGCTTCCACCCTCTTCTGTGGCAGCAAGTTCCAGAGGTTCACAGCCTGTTGTGAAAAGAAGTGCTTTCATCTGTTTTAAATTACTTTATGCTAGTTTCATCAAGTTTCCCTGGTTCTAGTGTTGAAGGATTTGCTGAACAATAGCCTTGCATTTGGCTAATCTGCTGCCTTCCTGCATTTGCAAACCTCGACTCTCCCCCCAGCCATCTCTTCTCACAGCTGAGGGCCTCCATTTTTCAATATCTAAATAAATCTGACACATCTCAGTTTATTAAAGCTACCACAGACCTATTCGCAGCATAATGTAGACGGTACCGGTCCCTGGCTTATTCTGGTGCTGCAGAAATTGAAGCATAGTCAAGCCAAATGTGTAGTTGCACATGCCTTGTCTGTGCTCTCCTGCCTGCCCTGCATGGCTCTGCAGCACGCTGCCCACCCACTGCACTTGCCTTAAATGCACTGCTACAAGAATGTCAAAGTACCAGACTCACAAATCATTGTTGCTAGACGGTTCTCTCTGGCAGTTCTTAAAAGCAGAAACATTAAAGTGAAAAACATGTATCAGCTATGTCTGCTGCAAAAGTAAAGCCTCACTGAATAGTAATAAAGGGGTGCCGTATTTTCCAAGGCAGAAGGTCGTGTGAAGTTTAACAGGACCCGTTCACTTAAAAGTCCTAAAATTTCAGGAGGATCAAGCTGACCCGTAATACAAAGGAGGATAAAACAATCATAAATAAGAGCATTAACAGGCATGACTGTCTGGAATAAAGCAGTTTAATATTCTAGAAATACAGATAATTTGTCAGCAAAGTGTAGCTAATTCTTCTCATCTTCTCCACCATAGGGCTACCCTGCAGCAAAGACCAACTGTCGGTTCACTTCTGCCGGAGGCTGAAAGGCATTGGCAAGTGCCTGCTGCCGTCAATACAGACTCAGTGCTGCTTCACATGTAGTCAGCCCCGGATTCGTCACAAAGCAAGATATTGGGATCAGCAAGGCCTCAAACAACAAAATTACACTAAATCTAGAAGAAAACCACCTCAAAACCAGGAAAACAACAACCAAGCTGCTTGGCACTAGCTGTTTTTTATCTAGTTGCTTTCAATAGGGCTTCTGTTTTATGTTCCTTCTTTTTTTTCTGAACCATCCAACATAAATGGAAGTCTGTGATCAAAGACGGGAAAACACATCCTTTAGCATTACCAGTCCTAATTTACTGCTTCAGATTTTTCTCTGTAATAGTCCAAAATTTGTAACATAATTTGCAGTGTACCAGCAGCTAGTACTTCTTAGGCATACGTAGAGGCTAGAAACAAGCTTGCAAGAATTTTTGGATTTTTTAAAATGAATATTTTACTTGTTCTTTCTTCTGTCTCTTTTCCAAAGCCCACTTGAAACAGCAGCACCACTTACTGAAGTGCTGAGTGAAGGCAGCCGATGGGGCAGCAGACACAGACCTGTGCTGTGGGCCAGATCTCTCTATGCTAACTCACTTTTCTGTTTTTAGGAATCAAGGTGAATTGGCAGTGTTTCTCTAAATTGTTTTCCTACTTCATAAATTTGAAGGTAGAGTTTTATAACAACTGATTATGATATGCAGGCCAAATTGAAACACTGGGTTTTTCAAAAGAAAAAATGTTCGTTTAGTACTTGACTGAACCTCTAAAGGATACCTCAACAATACCCTGTCCTTGCCAGTTTTCTTCGGCTCCAAACATTTTGCTCTAACCTGAAAAGCCCAACAAATATGGGATGTGAAGTTCCCAGTATGCTTTAAGCAACATTTCTTGGTATAATGAAAGCAAAGCTTTCCACCACCTTAATAGATAGATTGTAATTCACATCAATATTCGGTGATAGAGCTGTCATTTAATCTGGTATCTCCTAGTAGAGTGTAAGCCCACATCCACAAGAGTACTCTATCACCTCACTCACAGCAAACTTTTTCCCCAGTGCAAATCCTTGATCATAGTGAGGATGAGGGCACCTAGGACAGGAGCCTGAGACCCGGAGTATCTGCATAGCTCTGGGCTTCAGGCATTAGGAAAACACTAGCCAAATAGCAGATCTGGTTTGCTGTTGAAGAAGATGGCAGAACAAACTTTAGGGAGACCAGCCTGCACCCTTTGAAGCAAAGATGGGCATTTTCAAAAGAGCTCGACAGAGCCTGACATTTAGATTCCTTTGCAATTCAGTAGGATTCGGACACCTTGGTTCTTCATGCTCTTTTGAAAATCTCAGATTTACTCCCTAGCTACCTAACAATTTGAGATTGTAATACAGGGAAATGTCACATTTTATGCAATGCAGAGTGACACACAAAGCCATAAATCCAAGTGTCACTATGGTTACAGAGCTATGACTAGCATTAGCCCTATTTCTAGGTAGACCTTTATGAAAGTTAGTAGAAATATTTGGGCCCGGCTATGGTGTATTAATCTAATGAAGGCCACAAGTCTAACTGTCCTTTTTCATAGGTTTGTGACCTTTGGCTAAGGGCTCACTTCTTCACTTGAAGTCTTGGGGAGTTCAGGATAAGCAGCATTAAACTCTGTGATGGCAAGATAACCCCAGTTATAGGTGCTGGTAAAACTCAAAATCCACTGTTAAAAACATGGTGCTAGTATAACAGAAGTGGGGATGACTTACAATGGTGCATGTGCATGCGTGTGTGTACATAGCACACATACACATACTCTTAAAATAATATATGTCCATGGTGTTGCTGGCCAACACCAGACATAATGCTTTTTAAGTTTCACAGTGTGCTTATGTCTTTCTGAGGTTCTGAATGGCTACTGACCCTTTGAGCAGCAGAAATCTGGGCAGTTTATATTCCACTGGACACAGAAATACTGAATCATGTGAAGGACTGGAGGTGTCCCACATGACTGAGGGAGCATTTGGGCAGGGCTTGGCCTCAGGCTGCGCTGCGTAGAGCAGAGCCTGTACTGCTACATCCAAGGCCAGAGAACCTAGACTGGTGGACAGTACAGATGCTTTTGATGTTCCCAGAAGCATCTTCTAGGATCTGGGCAGGACAAAGTTAGATTCACTTCAGAGTCAGACTCTTCTGTGCTTAGAGGAACCTGCAATGTTTTATCCACAGAGGTCAGCAGAGGTGTGCCATCAGGTATGTGGGCTAACGACAAAGGAACTGACGGAGTGGATATAGTGCAGATGGGAGGAAATGTGGCTGGGGCGGTTGTCCCTTCCAGTGCTTCCAATGGCTAGTATGGAGTAAAACCATTTCTGGCTTCATTGTTTTCTTCAGGGAGCTGTTATCTCATTTGAAATGGACAAAAGTGAATAAATTACATTATGGACATTAATCAAAATAATCTTTCTACCCAGGGAAGCAGAGTCATCACTATTGCTCAGCTTAAAACTTTAGGGAAAAGACTGTGACAACATGAACTGTTTTAATAGAGCAGTGCCACTGCTGTTTTCTTACATAGGATCTTACATCGCGCTCATCAGCCTAATGTCTCCTCTGTACTAATAACATGTGCAGTCATCTCTCCCATCCATTTAGCAAGACTCCTTTCTTATGGCATAACTCTTTTTAAGTAAAGGTTGATTTATGGTCCTAACCCAGATGGTCACTATTCTCAAAAATGAATAGACTATTAAGTGCAAAGGTGTAATATCATTATATTATCATACTAGCCTGAGACACATCAGTTTCAACAGTTTGCTCAGGAAAAAATGTGTATTTGGCACATTCACTGCTTGTTCTAACATTTCAAGGTTTAAAAAGCAAACTATGATGACGTATTTGTTTCAAGCTTCAATAAATGGCATTGCTTATGTCTGATGTCTCTGGTCTTTTATGTTTTCAGTGCAAGAAGATTTGTAAGATGGAATTCCAAGGGAAAAAGACCTTAGAAAGTATCTTTTCTATTCCGGGGGAATCCTCATCACTGAGGTATTGTGATGCTTAATATTACAACATAAAAGAGATCATTAAAAAGGGTGAGGGAAAAAGTAGCAGAATAAAGCATGGTGCTAAGTAAAAATATGCATTAATAGGCTTAGTTATTTCCTATGAAATAGATGACATCTTACCACTTCTAGTCCAAGCAGATGAGTGCATGTCTGTTGTGTCTACCTGGACAGTTGTACGTAGTATGATCATGCCCGCTCCCCCACCCCTCACCCCCTGCCCTCCAAATCTTTTCAGTACTCAAGTTCTGCAAGTACTGCTGCTGATGCTGATGCCCAGAAACTCTATCACAGTAACCCTGTTCCTTGACAGGCAGCCCAGGAGCACAGGCATCACAGTTTTAGGCATAGACGCTTGAGTAGAGAGCACTGTCAGTTTGCACTCAGTTACCCGATTCCACCCATGCATCCATCCATGGGTTCAGGCCCTTTAAAGCCCTATGGAAGTTGCAGGACATCACTCCTTCTTGCTTCACAAAGTAAGCATGAATCTCCAGACCACAAGGGTAGCATCCTGCACAGGTGCTCTAAGGGAGAGGAATGAATTGCGCTGGGAAATGAGTTGAAGCTCCCTCTGCTTTGCAAAGGCTCGTTAAGCGTTCAGTGGATGACCTGCTGCACAACACGCAGCCTGACAAGCAGTTTCTGCTGTCTGCTGCACTGTGTGGCATGGCTCGCTGTGCTTCTTCGGCCTGGCCAAGCATGTAGCACCCACCAAAGGAACTGCCTTTTGGCTGCCCAGCATCAGCTAGAAATGAAATCAGCATGCAGGGAAAACATTGTGCTTCTCGCTCTAGTGATTCCCTCCATGATTTTAGTAGAAATAGAGTCCCTAGAGTGTGTGTGGATTTTTCCTCCATGACTTCAGTAGAAAAGCGGTTGTCAGTCAGTGGCAGTACCAGTTTTATGGAAGTACATGATAACTGCTTGATAGTACCCATGCTTAAGCAGAATTAAGTGTATGTAATGTAGATGTAGGTATCCGAGGATAGCTACAGGGAGAAGTAATTTACTACATTTCAGAAATAATCACCGCTAATTGTTATATATACAACCTCCACGTGTGAATTCCACAAGTTGTTTTAGGGTACTCTGAGATCCAGGACACTGCTCAGAAGGACCCTAAATGTCAGACATAGTGAAGCAAACTCAGCATTGCATGTGCCTCAAACTGTCAGGTACCATCTTGCAACTCACTGATGGGGGGGATGCTGGGCATCTATCTTCTCTGAGCCTTCCTAAGGCTGCTGGCTGCAAGGGTGAGTGGGGCTTGTGCCACCTAGTGACAGCAGCCCTGCTGTGAACCAGCTCTGGGTAAGCTGAAGGGCAGATCAGCATCCTCACCATCGACCTGGAATAACTTACTTCTCCAGCTGGGTTTCACACAGGGTCTGCACTCCTGCTCTGCAATCCTAGTGGGCTAGGCAGTGACTGAGGTGTGTATAGGTGTGAGTCTCATTAGTACATAAAAGTGAAAATTGCTACTTTGTGGTATCAAGGCAGAGTCAGAGCTAGACCTTTTCAGCATGAGATTTCTAGGTGTGCAGGCTTCTCTGGGAGCAGGAGCACACTTGCATGGTGATGGGATGAGGTGAGAGAGAAGCAAGGATTTGAGGAGTAGGGTGTTGCAGACCGAGGGACTTAATGTGGCAGCACTGGTAGATTAATTTTGTGGATACAGAAACACAGTACATTGGAGACTGAAGAGGGAGAAATTTCATCCGTGTTGAAGTGAATGTCCTAGATATGCTTGTTTTCAGCGGGTTACCCTGTTCCCCTGAGAACAGGACTTGGTGCCAGACACCTCTCACTTCACTGGACTGACTGATCCGACTGTGTATACAGGGACTCATTCTGCTACAGAATGGTGATTAATAAGAAACGTGGTTTTTTGCTGCTGCCTAGCACTGCAACCTCCCCAGCCCTTACGCCTGCAGCTGGTAGAATACGGGGAGCTCACACAAGGATATTGCTTATTTCTGTGACTGATCCCAACCTCCTCCTTTCTCTTGATGAACAAATGCACATATCTCCAGTAACAAAACCTGGGATGTGTTAGCCAAGGAGTACAAGTCTCTGCTACAGACATGGTGGTAGCAGCAGTAAGAGCCAGGAGCATGAGGAATAACTACAAT